CCAGGTGACTTATCTGTGGTTACCTTGTTTACACGGAACTCTGTTTCGTTTTGTTTTTTTCCCCAGACAGTGAGTTACTGTTACTGTTACATAGTTACATAGTTACATAGTTACATAGCTGAAAAGAGACTTGCGTCCATCAAGTTCAGCCTTCCTCAGAAATGTTGTTGCTGTTGATCCAAAAGAAGGCAAAAAAACCTGGTCTGAAGCACTTCCAATTTTGCCACAAACTAGGAAAAAATTCCTTCTTGACCCCAAAATAGCAGTCAGATGTCTCCTTGGATCAATCAGCTATTACCCCACTAATTAGAAATTATATCCCTGTATGTTATGTTTTTGTAAGTATTTATCCAATTTCAGTTTAAACATCTGTATGGACTCTGACAAAACCACCTCTTCAGGCAGAGAATTCCATATCCTTATTGTTCTTACTGTAAAAAAACCTTTTCTTTGCCTTAGATGAAATCTCCTTTCTTCCAGCCTAAATGTGTGACCTCGTGTCCTATGTATAACCCTGTTTATGAATAGATTTCCAGATAAAGGTTTGTACTGGCCCCGAATATATTTGTATAAAGTTATCATATCCCCTCTCAGGCGCCGTTTTTCCAAACGAAACAGATTTAATTTTTGTAACCTTTCTTCATAACTAAAATGCTCCATTCCTTTTATCAATTTTGTAGCTCGTCTCTGGACCCTCTCCAGTGCCATGATATCCTTCTTTAGAACAGGCGCCCAAAATTGCACAGCATATTCAAGGTGTGGTCTTACCAGCGATTTATACAGAGGCAAAATTATATTTTCATCCCGAGAATTTATGCCCCTATTTATACATGACAAAATCTTACTGGCCTTAGCAACTGCAGATTGACATTGCATATTGCTGCCTAATTTGTTGTCTATAACAATGCCCAAATCCTTCTCGTGTGTGGTTATCCCTAATTCACTACCATTTAGTGTGTAAGTTGCTTGTGCATTCTTAACCCCGAAGTGCATAACTTTGCATTTCTCTATGTTAAATTTCATCTGCCATTTTAGTGCCCAGTCCCCCAATCTATCCAAATCTCTCTGCAACAAAGCAATATCCTGCTCACATTTTATTACTTTACAAAGTTTTGTGTCATCTGCAAACACTGATACATGGCTTTCAATGCCTATTTCAAGATCATTTATAAATATGTTAAATAGAAGTGGTCCCAAAACAGAACCCTGAGGGACACCACTTGCCACTTTTGTCCAGCCTGAAAATTTACCATTAATGACAACTCGTTGTACTCTGTCCTTAAGCCAATGTTCTACCCAAGAACAGGAATATTCATCTAGACCAATTTCTTTTAGTTTGAAAACTAACCTATTGTGAGGAACCGTATCAAATGCCTTGGCAAAGTCCAAGTAGATCACATCCACTGCAACACCCTGATCTATACTTCTACTTACTTCTTCGTAGAATGCAATTAGGTTAGTTTGACATGACCTATGTTTCATAAAACCATGCTGATTATTGCTAATAACAAAGTTCTTCCCAATGAATTCCTGAATATTATCCCTTAATAGCCCTTCAAATATTTTCCCAGTTACTGAAGTTAAGCTCACAGGTCTATAATTTCCAGGCAAGGATTTTGAACCCTTTTTAAATATAGGAACAACATCTGCCTTCCTCCAATCCTCCGGTACAACACCTGAAACAAAAGAATCTTGAAAAATTAAATACAGAGGTTCACTTATTTCCCCACTTAGCTCCTTAAGTACTCGTGGGTGAATACAGTCAGGCCCCGGAGCTTTATTTACATTAATTTTCTTTAATAGCTGTAGCACCTTGTCTCGAGTTATCCAGTCACAAGTTATTTGCAAGTTTTTTGCAGCAAACATTTGCATATCTCTTGCCATAGGATCCTCATTAATATATACTGAAGAAAAATAGTTATTTAAAATTTCTGCTTTTTCCTGGTCTTCATTAGCTAATAAACCCAACTCTGTTTCAAGTGTACCTACACTTTCATTTTTTGTTTTTTTAGAATTGATGTACTTGAAAAAAATTTTGGGGTTGGTTTTGCATTCTTTAGCTATCAATTTCTCATTTTCTAGTTTAGCCACTTTAATTGCCTTTTTGCAAGTGTTATTGGCTTCCTTATATCTTAAATAGGATGCCTTTGATTTGTCTGATTTAAATGCTTTAAATGCCCTTTTCTTATTTTTAATCTCTTGTTTTACTTCTCTACTAAGCCACATTGGTTTTAATTTGTTTCTTTTATATTTATTACCCAATGGTACATACTGAGAAATGTACCTTTCTAATATATGTTTGAACAGTTTCCATTTATCCTCAGTGTTTTTATCACTAAGGAGTTTATGCCAGTCGATATGTTGTAGAGCTGCCCTAATCTTATTGAAATTGGCTTTTTTAAAATTATATGTTTTAGTATACCCCACCTGCTTTTGCTTTTTTGAGTTTATTTCAAAATTTACCATATTGTGATCACTATTTCCCAAATGCTCCCCTACTTGAATGTTGGTTAAAAGATCAACATTGTTTGTTATGACAAGATCCAGACAAGCATCCTGTCTAGTTGGTGCTTGTACCAGTTGTGACATAAAGGTGTCATTTAACACATTCAAAAACCTGATTCCCCTTGCTGAAGTACTAGTCCCTCTTTCCCAATTTATGTCTGGATAATTAAAATCTCCAATAATTAACGTGTTACCTCGATTTGCAGCTTTCTCAATTTGCTCTAACAGCTGTTCTTCCTCATTAATATTTACATTAGGTGGTTTATAACATATCCCAACCAATAATTGATTTCCCTTTGTTTTCCCCAAGCAGATATCTACCCATAAAGCCTCCACCTTTTCCTCGTCACACTCCACATGCCTAAGATTTGACTTTAACTCACGGTTGACATATAAACATACCCCACCACCCTTCTTGTTTTTCCTATCCTTCCTAAATAACGTATACCCATTTAAATTAACTGCCCAGTCATGTGTCTCATCCCACCATGTTTCTGTTATGCCTATTATATCATATTGTTTAGTGTATGCTATTGCCTCTAGTTCCCCCATTTTGTTATATAGGCTCCTTGCATTAGTAAGCATACATTTAATATTATCATGAGTCTTTTGTACTTTTTGTGAATTATCAATATTACATACCTCCTCTGTTCTGAGTTTTCCCCTCCCCCCATCTCCACCCCCTTTGTTCTGAGCTAAAGCCCATCTCTTTTCCATCATATCTCCATTTTCTAGATTGCTTTGACCCTCCCCCCCTACCACTAGTTTAAAATCTCCTCCAACCTTCTAGCCATCCTATCCCCCAGCACAGCAGACCCTCTTCCGTTTAGGTGCAATCCATCATGACTATACAGGTTGTACCCAAGCGCAAAATCGGCCCAGTGCTCTAAAAACCCAAAACCCTCTTTCCTGCACCAAGACTTTAGCCACGCATTGACCTCTCTAATCTCCCGCTGCCTTTCTGCTGTAGCGCGCGGCACAGGTAATATTTCTGAAAAAATTACCTTGGAGGTCCTTTTCTTAAGCTTACTTCCTAGTTCCCTGAACTCATTCTTTAGGACCTTCCATTTTCCTCTGACTTTGTCATTGGTACCAATATGGACCATGACAGCTGGGTCATCTCCAGCCCCTCCCAATAATCCCTCCACTCTGTCGGCAACATGCCGGACCCGAGCACCCGGGAGACAGCAAACTGTCCGGTTGAGTCGATCAGAGTGGCAGATTACCCTATCTACTCTCTTAATAATAGAGTCCCCTACCACCACAACCTGTCTAGCCTTCCTTACCCTCTCAACCCCACCCGTACTAGAGGGGCTGTTTCCACGGCTGTTAGCAGGAACAGCTTCCTGCAGTACAGCTACTCCTGAGCTGATGCTCCCAACATCTTCACTCAAACGGGCAAATCTGTTAGGCTGCATGAGATCAGGACTAGCTAAACCTTTTCTCTTCCCTCCCCCCCTGCTTCCTCTCCCCACTGTCACCCAGCTACGTGCCTGTTCCCCATCTGTCTTATCTCCTCCCTCTCCACTACCTGTCCCCACTAAACTCTGCTCAGTGAGCAGCAGACTCCTCTCAAGATTGTCAATCTCCCTCAGTGTTACAATTTGCCTCTCCAGATCTCTAATCTGAGCTTCCAGAAATGCCACTCGCTCACACCCACCACAGAGGTATGGACCCTGGACAGAACCATCCAGGCATGCATACATGCGGCATGATGTGCACTGAGTTAAATTTGCAATCTTGCTAGCACTCATCCCCAGTAACAAAAAACACAAGTGAGAAAAAAAAAAAAAAATGTTAACCCTCTTGGTTTAAACTCCCTTGTAGTTTCAACTCCTGTTGTTTTAACTCCTACTTAAAAGAGACTACTTGAAAGAGCCTACTTTCAAGCAAACTCCAGTGAGCAAGCTCTGTGAGTCAGTAGTGGGTTTATATTTGCAATACAAATCCCACACAGGTGGAAATTAAGGGGCACTCCCCCTAATTAGCTCAGCAGCAGCAGCACCCACAAGGAGGGGAATAGAAACAACAAGAGAGGGGGGGGAAAAAAAAAGGGAGGGAAAATGTTTTAAATAATACCAGCAAGGTGAAAATATAGAAGAGAAAAAAAAAAGGAACAAAGTTTAAATATATCCAAAGAGAAAAAATATATATGAAAAGGGGAAAAAAAGTTACAAAATATTAAAATAAATCAAAACAGTAAGGAGAAATAATTTGGTTTTTTTAAAAAGGGTAAAAGTAAAAACAAAACAAAAACAAAAAAAACACAAAATACAAACAAAACAAAACCCAAAAAGAGAGAGAAAAAAAACAAAAAAAACAAACAAACAAAAAAAAGGTTCTGTTAATGTTAATGTGGTTTAATCACAAGACACAGATCTATGAGGTAGCAGTCTATATTACGTCCTCCTGAATCTTTTTACGAGTTCATTCCAGGTATCTGCTGCTATACTCACAGTGTTACTACATTGCAGAGTGAGCTGTTAACGTGGAGAATGGCTGGCTTCCATACAGATTGTATAGAGAAACCTCTCTCCCGTGGTTTCAGGCAACTAGGATGGATGATTGGCAGATACCCCTGGTGGTTTCTTGTGATTCCTATTCTTGTCTCTGCAGGGCTAGGAGCTGGTTTTTATTTTTTACCACAAAGAGAAGCATATGACATAGAAGAGCAATTTACACCTATCGGAGGACCATCCAAGAAAGAGAGAGACTTTATAAAAACACATTTCCCAGTCAACGACACTGGACAGTTTTCTGCTACACGACTTTATACAGAAGGTTCTTTTGTTTCATTGATTGCAGTCAGTTTGTTTGATAACGTTCTGACAGCAAACGCATTTAGAGAACTCTTGAAATTGGACGAGAAGGTGAGAAGTTTGAATGTCTCAAAGTCAGATCTTGGGAAGGAAGAGAACCTTACTTTTTCCCAGCTGTGTGCAGAGATCCAGGGTCTCCAATGTCTTGACTCAAACCCTTTGCTAAGTGCAGTGCAAAGTAACCCTGATAAAATAGAGACAATCTATGTGACTTTTCCTATGTTCCAGAATACATTTCTGGGGAAGTATCTTGGAGGTGTCACGCTGGGCCCAGAAGAAATCGTACAGAAAGCCCGTGCAGTGAGATTAGTGTATTACCTGAGAGAAGACAGTGGTCAAGACAAAGCTAAAAGCTTACTATGGATCAACCACTTCATCAATTCCATCCCAAATGAAATCAGGACATTGAATTTGACAAATATAGAGGTAAGCAAAACATTTTACTCTCAATTACATTCTAAAAACCGTAATAGTAAAAATATAATAATTTGTGTATATGCCGTATTTTATTATCTTTCAGTGGCAGCTGGTGAAGATCAAAACCAGCTGCATCTCCAGTCATCAATAAAAGGGATAATAGAGACTGCAGCTATAGCCATGTTTATATGTGTAAGAACCTTTAACAATGTAAGATATTGTCATGTAGATTGGGTAAATGAGAGACAAACCATTAGAGACATATAAAAAAAAACCTTAATAGCTTATGCCACGGTTTGCTGAACTGATCCTGATGAAAGCCACAAACAATGGCTGAAACGTTGATTATGATTATGTTTTAAGAAATGGAATAAAGAAAGAACTTTTACAAAGGAGAAAGAGCGTGAGTGCAAGCCTCTTTTCACTATCTCTATTATATATATATATATATATATATATATATATATATACACACATATACACATACACATACATACTGTGCGTAAAATATGCATGGCAGGATCTAACTACAATTTGGTGTAAAAAGCATACATTTGACTGGTTCCACCCAAAGAAACAATGCACAACTTAAATATCAGTTCCGGCACTTTTACCCAGACGATATTTTTATAATTTGGAGATTCCTATTAATTAGTTTTTATTGGATTGGAGTGTTATTTTATTTATATATTATAGATGACCGTTGGTTGAGGATCTGCTTGATCCCAACTATATATGAGGGGATGAGAGACCAGGGGGACTGGGTTATTCACTGGTCCTATTGGGGTATACAGATTTTGGTCCAGTGATTTTTGGGGAATTTATTCATTAAAACTTCAATTTAATATTTTCGGATACGCTTTTGAAATGGTTTAATACTTATGGCTAAACTTTAAAAAAAAAAAAATTTTCAAAATATTAAAATATCCAAAAGTCGCCTATAAATTTTTTTAAAAAATATTTTTCAAAATGTTAGCTCATTTGTAAATGTTTATCTAAAAATATTAAATAATTCGATAAGCTTATCCAAAAATATTTCATCAAATCTTATATCTAATAAAGATAAGTTAATAGGAGAGGGTATTGTTCAGATATAAATATTTATTCTAATGCTACTGTGTCAATTTCATGGGTTAGAATTGTCTATTATCACCTGAGTTTTAATCGCAAGGATGATTAGTTACAAAGTGTTTGAATGGATAGTTCATTTGTCCAAGTTTAGAACAGCTTTCCTCACCAGTTATGGTTTAGATAATTATTGATGAATTTTTGTAATAGCAGGTGACAAGGAAGTTGTAGCATATATTTTTAGAGACTGAATAACATAGAATAGTTAGAGAAAGTATGAAACTAATGTTGGGTTTAATCACTAATGAAATACCAGATAATGAAAAAGCGAACACATGACTGCCCACTTAACTTTTATTATACCAATTAAAAAAATGTATATACAAAATAGTACATAAAACAGCTTCTAACGAAACTGATTTGGCAACAAATATAGCAATATATATATATATATATATATATATATATATATATATATATATATAATACAATACACACCCTCTTGTTTTATATATATATATATATATATATATATAATATTATCTGTGGCTGCTTATATCACTTAAATACATGAAAAAGTACTTATGCAGCTAGACTAAACTGGAGATACAATAATTATATTAATGAAACAATTAGGACCTAGAGGCAAAGATAATCACACAGGATATATATTATATTATATCCCAAAGTTTCCTTGGGATATAATATATACATTGAAAAAAATAAAAGAGATCTCCAAAATTAGAAAAGGGGGGTTCTTAGTTATTGCCTAAGCTATCTATAATAATCAAAAGGTAAAGATATTAAAGCGTTCAGGGCCATGATCAATGGCAAAATGACGTCTGTCTGAAATCTACACAAATTAAATTTCACTGCTGATTTAAAGCACTTACTCACCAATTTTGTCTAGTTATTAAAAGTGTGTATCTATAAGCAGATAACTCATCTGAATATCGAATTACCAGCAATTGACACAGATGGGCAAACAAAAGAAACACAATTTTGCAAAAAGTCACTATGAGATGAAAATGAGAGTCAGTGCCGAGTGTAGGAATGTAACATTATTTAAATAAATAATAAAGATCTGTTGAAAAACTTAAGCAGAAATTATCTAAGCTGATGTCCACAGGATACATGAAAAAAAATATGATTAATGTCCCTAACTACCCCTAATGTCCCTAACAGACACTGCATAAATAGTCCTGTCTCTGAGCCTTCGAGGGCACCTATCAGTAATAAAGATGTCAACTAAACATCCTAGTCTGTCTCTACAATCTAAATCAATAATAAAAAGTTTTTACACTGAATGAAAACAATAGAAATTGTGCAAAAAAGATCTACATGTTCATCATCTCATCAAAATTCGAGCTAAGCTCTAAAATTGCATTGACAAACATATAGCACTCTAAAAAAAGATTATTATTATTTTATTAATGTTACATTCCTACACTCGGCTCTGGCCCTCGTTTTCATCTCATAGTGGCTATTTGCAACACTGTGTTTCTTTTGTTTGCCCATTGGTTTTCTCTGGAAATGATGTGATGAAAAATTTGTTTTATAATAGCTGAGTTATTACACATTGCGATAGGATCTAGAAAAAGGGAATTGTAAAGGAAACTCTTACGTGGTGATTTGTCAATGTCTGAATTTTTGGGAATATAAAGTAAACGTAAAGGGAATTTACCATTGCTGGCCGTAGTAGATAAACTGAAATCTTTTCCAATTCTGTCATTTGTACCTAAAATTCTCAATTGAATTCCAATTCCTAATGATACACACTTTAGTGATTAACCCTGTTAGTCATGTCGGGCTTTTGTGGGTTAACAATAACATAATAAAATGAACAAAGCTAAGAAAAAACACTGTGATAATAAATACTTTTTTTTTTTTAAATCAGGTATCTTATTTCACTTCAGTGTCCAGACAAACAGAATTTGAAGATGCCACAAAATCTGTGATCCCTCTATATTCCATTACATATTTTGTGACTATAACATTTTCTATCATGTCATGCACACGGTAAGAATTTCCAACTAAATATAAATGATGGTCCTACTCTAATGCGTAAGAATCATCACTACCATTATCTTACAATATGAGTACTTTAACCCTTTACCTGCCATAGCTGTCCATACATGGCTAAATTTGTAACCAATGCAAAAAACCCTAAGCCCCATTTCCTTTTTACTCTTGTGCCAGCCTTCATCGGGCAGGACACAAACTTCCCCACAGCCGGTCTCTGGTTAATACTCCTGCCCTTACCAACTCCTTTACTCTACAAGAACTGATTTGTTTTAGAATCCTTAATTAATCATCTCATATTTTTTTTTACATTTATTTACTTTGATAGTTAGCAAGGATTGGTTGATCAAGTCAGGACATCAAGATCAGACAATAAGAAGGCATTGTTTTCCGAAGTCTCTTTGTTCCCAATTATTAAGTTGGTTACCATTGAAACTCACACTTCATTAAAACAAGTCTTAGTTAAATACCAAATGTGCAGAAGTATAGAAAAGCCCTTGTTCTAAAAGGATTAAAACATCTTAGTCCATTACCACCAATTAGTGATCTCTGGAAAAAGAAATAACAAAACTACTGGAAGGGTGGAATGATCTTTTTCAAGAGACTTACAACAATGTAGTTAGTCACTGCAATGAGTCACATTATTATTATTTTTTTTAATAATTATATAGTCACTGCAATGATTTGAATTATTATTTTTAATAATATAGTCACTGCAATGAGTCGAATTATTATTATTTCTATTTTTAATAATAATATAGTCACTGCAGTCACATTATTATTATTTTTAATAATAATATAATTACTGCAATAATTTGATTTATTATTATTTTTAATAATATAGTCACTGCAATGAGTCGAATTATTATTATTAATAATAATATAGTCACTGCAATGAGTCAAGTTATTATTATTTTTATTTTTAATAATAATATAGTCACTGCAGTCACATTATTATTATTATTTTTAATAATAATATAATTACTGCAATAATTTGATTTATTATTATTTTTAATAATAATATAGTCACTGCAATGAGTCGAATTATTATTATTATTAATAATATAGTCACTGCAATGAGTCGAGTTATTATTATTTTTATTTTTAATAATAATATAATCACTGCAATGAGTCAAATTATTACTATTATTAATAATAATATAGCCACTGCAATGAGTCGAATTATTATTATTTTTATTTTTTAATAATATAGTCACTGCAATGATTTGAATTATTATTAATTTTAATAATATAGTCACTGCAATGCGTCGAAATATTATTTTTATTTTTAATAATAATATAGTCACTGCAATGAGTTGAATTATTTTTTATTATTATTTCTAATAATAATATAGTCACTGCAATGAGTCGTAGTATTTTCAATGCTTATAGTGCCTTTAACGTTTTAGCTATTGTTTTTATATGTTGTTAAATATCTGTGCTTTGACCTTTCCGTTTTATCTGTGTGTTCAACAGTCTGTTACACCATTGGTATCTTCTTTATCTCTGTATTTTAGAATGGACAGTGTGAGAAACAAGGTCTGGGTCGCTTCCTTTGGAGTCATTTCAGCTGGGTTAGCGGTCCTGTGTAGTTTCGGTTTGCTGTTATTTTGTGGGGTTACTTTTGTTGTTACAGTATCCAATGCCCCGTTTCTTATTTTAGGTAAGTGCAACAAAGTTTACTTGTCTTGTCCTGGTGGTAGAAAATATAGTGAAAAAAATAAATACATGTACTTTTAGTTATTTTTTTTTTTTTTAAAAGAAGTATTTAATTGGGATTATATAAAATATATATAATTAAATTCAAAATGCCCAATTTATGATCTTGCTCCTCTCCCTTTTTCTGTGCCTACCTTTCTGTTTCTACATTTGTTTCTTTGTCTTTGTTATTTCCCTCTGTATATGTCACTCTCATTCTCTATTTGACTCTCTTGCTTCTTCTCTCTTTCTCCTCCCTTTATCTATGTCTTTCTGTGTGTAATTCTATGCCCCCATTCCTTTTGTTTGTGTCCTGCAATGACCCTGATTTCCCCAAATTAGCTCTACAAACATCAACAGGATTTTCATAGACTTTGATATATAAAGATTGCCAGTTGAAACAGACCATGCCATGTTATATGCTCTAAAAATAAGGTGTTCATGAAATGGTAGATACCCACTGGTTACATTTCACTGGATTACCTAATTTAGTTTATAATATAGACATCAAAGTAAATAGTATGGGACTCAAACATTAGATTTTCACTTTATAACAGCCGGTTAAATGGTAATTGTGATTGGAACATATTTCCAATCAGAAATTAGTCACATCTGGCAATTACCAAAGTGCAGGAACTGCACTCCTCTACGTCCAACACGCAATGTGCCATCTGACACAACCTTTATATACGCGTAGAAACAGTAAGGATGAGCAGTGAAGGGTTAAATAGGTTGTTTTAATGTAATTTTGTGTATCTAGCAAGCAGCAACGTTTTGACCCACAACCAAGGTCTTTGTCAAGCTGTTGAAGACCTCGGGTTAAAGGTCGAAACGCTGCTACTTGCTTGATAAATGGAATTACATTAAAACTACCCATTATTTAACCCTTTAGTGCCCAGGACCATTATCCCTACCATTACTACATATTTGGCAGTTGTCTGAAGTCTAAAAAATGCTTGGTAATGGTTCATTGATTAACCACCACAATGTAAGAAATTCTGTCCAAATAGTAAAAGCCATAAATGCAGATGTTTTGCATTAGATCACCTGTTGCTTAGCTGTTCCCTTTTATTTTTATAGGTGTTGGAGTGGATGATATGTTCATTATGATTTCAAGCTGGCAGCAAACTCAAGTTAAGAGTTCTGTCGAAGAAAGAATGGCGGACACATATGCAGAAGCGGCTGTATCAATTACTATAACGACTCTTACTGATGTTCTTGCATTTTACATAGGAATTATGACAACTTTTGGATCAGTGCAGTCATTTTGTATATATACTGGGACTGCCTTAGTGTTTTGTTTTATATATAACCTTACCTGTTTTGGTGCATTTTTGGCTCTCAATGGTAGAAGGGAAGAGAGTAATAGGCATTGGTTGGTTTGTAAAAAAGTAGAAAAACATGCTGATAGCGAACGTTCTGCTTTCTACAAAGCCTGTTGTGTTGGGGGAGCATATGACCAGACAACAGGTAAGGAGGTAGAACATCTGGCTACGGGCTTTTTCCATAAATATTATGGGCCATTTCTCACAAATATCTGGGTCAAAATTATGGTTGTCATGTTGTATGGTGGATATTTAGCCAGTGGTATTTATGGGTGTCTTCAAGTACAGGAAGGAATTGACCTAAGGAATTTGGCTTCTGACGATTCTTATGTATCTTCATTTTATGACAAAGAGGAAAAATACTTTTCAGAGTATGGTCCGAGAGTTATGGTTGCTATTACCAAAGAAGTCCCATACTGGAATTCAGATGTTCGTAATAAAATCGAACGTTGCATGGAATCGTTTGAAAATAATTCCTATGTTAACAAAGCATTTTCTGAGTCATGGCTGAGAGTATATGTTACTGTTGCAGAACGATTTAATCTGGACTTAAACAATCAGAATTATTTTATTGGAAATGTCAGTAGGTTGTTTGTTATTTTGCCTGAATTTCAGCAAGATATGCAATTGGAATGGGATGTCATAAAAGCTTCACGTTTTTTCATTCAGACTGTTAATGTAACCACTGCAGTTGATGAAAAAAATATGTTAAACCAGCTCAGAGATATAGCAAAGGACTGTGATATTCCATTATTGGTATATCATCCAGCATTTATATATTTTGACCAATATACGGTTATCATTCAGAACACTATTCAAAATGTCCTTGTGGCTGCTGCCGCTATGTTTGTTATCTCGATACTCTTAATTCCAAACCCACTCTGTGCACTGTGGGTGACTTTCGCAATCGCCTCCATCATTGTTGGTGTCACCGGTTTCATGTCTTACTGGCAGGTAAATCTAGATTCTATATCAATGATCAACCTTGTTATTTGTATCGGGTTTTCAGTTGACTTCTCATCTCATATATCATACGCTTATGTTTCCAACAAGAAACCAAAGGTAAATGACAGAATAATCGATGCCTTGCATTCTCTGGGTTACCCCATTTTACAGGGAGGTTTATCAACAATCTTGGGGGTGGTTGCACTTTCTGCCTCAGCGAGTTATATCTTTAGAACTTTTTTTAAGATAATTTTTCTTGTCATTGCGTTTGGCATGCTCCATGGGCTAGTTTTTCTGCCAGTGTTTTTAACTCTGTTTGGAAATTGTGGAAAAAAACCTAAGGTTGATAAGTCAGATCATGAGCTGTGCACTGGTACAATTAAAAATCCACACAGCCTTGATTTTTCAGGAGACCATCAGGGACAAAATGACAATAGCTCATATTACAAGTTTCAAAACCGATACAGGTCTGATCCTGACTGCCCATAGATTTATATGTAAATTAAATAGCTGGTGAGATAGCTAATTTTCTATTGCCATCTAAGTCAGACAAACCCCCCTGCCTGCCAGAAAAATGGGTAACTAAGTTGTTTAACATCTACATATAAGAGTATACACATCAGAAAATTTGATAAATCTCAATATATTCTTCCTCATCAATCATAAAGGAGGCAGATAAGATCCCTAAGAACCACAGAAAAAAAGAGAGTCAAAATTATTAGGACATTCTAAGCACCATGACCAATTCATCTAATTGAATTGGTTATGTTGCCTGGAGTCTCCTGGCGCTGTCTCACTGTTTAATGTTACACCAGTTTCTATTGGTTTGACACTGGTTTGGCAACTTGTGTCTATGCCCACAGCTGGAGGTATAGCTAAGGAAAAGTGTAACTTCTCCTTAGTCATACCAATTCATACCAACGATGGATGTCTGGGATAAGCTGAGAATGCTTAGCTGATGCTCTAATCATTGGTTCTCATTGTTACTTGGCATAATGCAGAAGCATACGCCCAAGCAGCAGAGAGGTGGAGGGCTGCATAACCAACCAAGATATATGGGGAAGATTTCATTTAAGGTTGGATTCAAAGGTACATAGAATGGGTTAAAAACAGTCAGTTACCAAATTGGAAGGAAAAGATGACAGACAAATTCCTAAATATTTAAAGAGGTGGATATCAAAGAGGAATGTATACGAGGAGGAAAGGGTATAATACTTAGAGGTAGAGGGATATCCCAATATTTTAGATTCATCCATATTAAAAAGCTATCGATTAATTCCTGAAAAATTGAGAAAGAAGACAATAGATCAACAAGAATAAAAGTAAAATCATCAGCAAATGCCATGGGTGTGGTTAAGTAAATTAAAACCTTTATGCTCTCAAGCAAAGTTTTAAGAGTTAGAACAAATAAAAGATTGGACAGTGGACATCCTTATCTAGTTCCATTATGCATACTTTAAATTGGCCCAGTATTCATCCTGGGTAAGAGGTTGATTTAAGCTATTCACACACCCAGTGTGGTCAGTGTCAGCGCTGGTGGGGTTTTAAAATGACACAAGTGAAAGTAGTATTCCTGATACGTCTATATTTTGAGTCTGACTATTTCAAACTGACAATTCATTTGTGAACTTTATACAATTCATGCACTTCCAATTTCTTTTTTTTAAATCTTTAATCTTTTATTGAATTTTTTTTTTGTTTGTTACATGTACGTAAAAAAGTTACATATCACATAAACCAAAAAGGAATAAACAGAAAAACAAATACTACAATAGACATTACAACATTTTGACAAATTTAAAATTGAACATTTTTTCTGTGTGGTGGGGGGGGAGGAGTGGGGGAGGGATGGAGGAATGGAAAAGGGGGACTTTGTCAGGAGTGTATTTTCCCTCATAGTTTTGCTATTTGTTCCAACCAGAATTCATAGTTATTGTCAGATGATTTACAGATACCCCTCTCCATCGTTATTTGATATAGCAACTGCTCTTTACCTAGAGGCCAACATGGTGTCACCACACTTTTCCAGTTTTAGGCTATCATAAGTTTTGCTGCAGTCAAAATGGATACCTATAAAAGAATATGGGCCAAAGAGATTATGTCAATTTATATGGAGTAAAAATAGCTTAGCTTCAAATATATAGGGCCTATTAAGCAGTTTTTGCATTTTAATATAGATCATATGCCACAACAATTGGATTGGTTGAAAGTCCCACCAAATATGGGCCAATCCTCATTTATCTATTTCACATCTCCAACATCTATCAATACAGTCATCATCATTGCTAACCTACTAGGTACCAGATACCATCTATTTAATATTTTATAGTGTACCTTCACCAAATTGATGTTATAGAGTCATGCACTTCCCATTTCTATGCACATAGATGTGCAAAAGTGGTGGAAGGAAGATTCCCCTAGATAATTATAGCAAGGATGAGCAAGACCCCACCAGTCTTGATGGTGTAGCTTCAAAGGTCATATGTTTTACTGTTTAATTAAGATGAAGAAAAAACAACATATATATATTTATATACTTCTTTACTGGCACTTAGAATTCTATTTATGGGTTTCAATTTTGCCTGTAAAAAAATACCTGGTCTAAAGCATGTTCTCCACTTGGTGCTGGTTTTTCCTATTATGTAGTGACAGGCTGCCCTGCCAGACACAATAATGCTCCTTTAGACCACAATTAGGGAGGTTTGTAGAGTTGAGGGTAGTTAGTCTTTGAATAAGAGGCTTAGCATATGTCAAGCATACTTGCACACTTTTTTTCTATAGAGGTCAATCTGTTCTTCATTCTTCCTACATAATGTTTATCACAATATGTAATTCACAGTTCAATATAGGTTGTTTAGATTGAAAGTTCATCTGAGCAAAACACTCACCACATATTATCCCTGTAAGTAAAACATATCCTGTTAGATTAGATTATTCTACTCATGGTACAGCACTGCAGACTATGTTGGTGTATTTTTGTTTTTATTAGTAGTCGTATTGTTATATGCTCATTTGATATATGTATGTTTCATATGTTTGATTTCACGTAAATGGACAAGGTATATTATTTATCAAATAGAGGGAGGGTAAATTTGCCAGATATGTAGTCTATATTAATGTTTACAGCAATAGACTAGAGTATAGGAATTATCCAACAAGATTTGATTGGAAACAATGGTAAAATCTGATCTGCAGCTAGTTCCTAAAGATTGGTTTGAGAATCACTAGTCTATACCCATTGATCTCTATGCCAAATGTCACAGATCACTGTGGTACAAAATATCAAGAATGCTTTTTGAATATAAATACTTTTTTTATTATGATATGTCTACGGTTTTCATATGCCAGTATTTCTTAGATCCGAAGTGACTGTAATATTGGAAGAAACAATATGGATTTTACACAAATTTCATTCAGTTTACTTTTATATGCTGAACTACGTAATATATAATATTACAAAAGGTATTGGTCACATCAATTTTGTTACAAAATGGCAATTAAATGTTATAAATCATAAATATATTAAAGAAAAATTAAAGCATATATAAAAAATCTGAACTAACATCTCAGTGGAGCTCTGTTCAATCAATTTTGTGCCTAATTTCTATTGAACTTGAAGATTATATATATTTTCTTCACTCCACGATTGGTTAGACCAGTTAATGGTACAATTTTTTTCAATCTTTCTTATTGATGGATGTCCATGAATATTTATTTTGGTAAATAGCTCAAGTAATAAGCACCCAGAACTAGCGCTCCCTCCTGCCAGGCACTCTGTGTAGCATGGAGAAAATAGGAAGAGAAAATCAGCGCTAAATTGCCACAAAAGAAGATAATAGGAAGGCTGCACTCCTCAAAGGGGAATCCCCTCTAATCCCCTCGTGATAAGTGATTATTATCCACTTGAAGAAGCCCTTGAGGCGAAACGCGTTTAGATATTGTTTTTACTACTTTATAATAAAGAAATTATTTTGGCATAAAATACTTTATTGCCATTTTCTTTCTTTTCACCTGACCATACATATATTGCATATTCTACAAGAAGCTCAAAGAATCCACAGGTGGGGATTATACCACCCAAGTGCTTACACCGAGCAGTACAAGCCTGCTCTAAATAATGTGAGTAGTATATTTTATACTCTTTTAAACTTTTAATTATAATACAGAGAGCACTATATTTTATCCTCTTCTTCTGGGTCTACGAATACCAATTTGGACGCCGAACTTGTGCCAGATATTCGCCAATTCTATTCCACATATCCTTGAGTGGGGATTATTCCACTTCACGTGCGCAATATCAGAGCTGGATTTTAGCTCTGAAAAGTGTGAGTAAGACCATTTTTATTATTTTAAACAATTTTATTCATCTATATACTGTGCCATTGGAGTTCTGTTTTTATCTTTCCTCTCTCTACATATGCTCCACTGAATTTCAAGCATTTAGCCGTGAAGACTTGATTCCATTTTACATCCCAAGAATCCCTTTTTCACACGTGGGACCTAACATTACGGATTTTGATAAGTTTTTTTGGACTATTGATAATTATTTATTTTATTTTAATAATTTATAAATATTAATATTTTAATATTTTAATATATTTTATACGTTTTATGATATATTTCAGGCGCACCCTTATTCTATTGTCTGTTTTGTGTTCCCGCTCTGTGTAGCATGGCCGAGCGGAGCAGTGCACACCGGGGTACAGGGACTTATGTTTCCTGATCCCGGCCGGATTGAAAGGAAGTGCTCACTGAGAGAGCACTTCCTGTCAGTCCGGCCGGGTACAGGAGACTGAATCTCCTGTACTGCGGTGCGCACTACTCCGCTCGGCCACGCTACCAGGAGACACAGCGGGGGCCAAGGAGAAGAGAGAGGGGCACGGATGGGGGGAGGCAAGGGGGGTGTTAAGGAACACTATGGGACCGAAAAGGGGGATGTGAAGAACATTAGGGGGGAGAAAGGAACATTAAAGGAGGACACTAAGGTACAGGAGAGGGAAGTAAAAAGGAACACTGGGGTGGGGGTGGGGGGCACTAAGAGACAGGTAACGGGTGGGGAGCACATATTTACACACAAACACACTGCATCCACTACATCCACTGCATCCACTACACAAACACACACACACATTGCATTTACTATTAAAATGCTCTCACTGCATCCACTACACACGCATAAATATTCTTGAAAACATAAAAAAAAAAATCTGACTGGCATGTATATTTTGTGCATTTACCACTAAATAAAATACGGTAAATGTACAGAATATCAGTAAGCTATCGGCCTGAAAAGTTCACAGATTATCAGTATTGGCTCTAAAAAAAAAAAATCAATGTCGGTCGATCCTTACCCAGAACCTAATTACTATGTCTCTGATTGAAAGAAAATACAATACTGCTTTCAGGGCCGGTGCAACCATGACTAACTTAAAGAACACCAGCCCAGGAGGGAACACAGCACAGCACTCCCCTTCTGCCAGTAACTCCATGTAGAGTGACAGCATGGACTGTGGTAAAGGATCCTCTATCATGGTCCATACTGCCACACTACATGAAGGCAAGTGAGAAGGCACGCAAGTGGGGAGAGGGGGGAACAGAAAAAGACACACAAAGGACCTGGGGAAGAGGACAGTGACATGGACAGAGGGTCTGAGGAAGTGGCCAATGACACAACCCTCACACACACACTGCACCCCACACACACATCCTGCACCCCTCACTGCAGTGTGGGTGTGTGTATTCAGCAGTTTGTGTGTGTGTGTGTGTGTTGAGCAGTCTGTGTGTATGTATTGTATGTATCAATAAATATAAGCTTATGTTTATCGATAATTTACATTTCTATTTCTGTAAGTGGCTTTGTAGGAAGGTGTCAGGAATCTTACCTGAGGTGGGAGTCCAACGTACAGAGCTGTGCACTCAACCCTTGCAGATAAACACAGTTCAAGGTGACCAGGTAAGAAGCCACCTGGACTGTGAATCTGTGCAGGAAAGGTGCACCAATACGCAGTTCAGGCAAGGACACAAGCAGAAGGATGGTCGAGGTGAAGCCGAAGTCAGAGGATGCCAGGTATAACAGGGATAGAACTACTCAAAATAATAGACTCTGCTCTGGCTCAGAGGCAGTATAGCAGGCCCAGGACATTAAATGACCTTCTGGTACTGCTGGAGAGAGGTCAAGGTCTGGTGCAGGTGGTAAGTACTTCTGTAATTTAGCAGGAGTGGAGTTCATGGCTAGCAATGCCTCCTGGAACATTTGTAAATCCTTTTTTCGGACTATAGTACCATTAGAGGTATAGGTACTTTCCGAAGGTAGGTCTTCTTTGGGCTGGCATGAAGTAGTGATGGTATTCATAGAAGTATCTTCAGGAGGAGGTGCAGATGTCTCTGGAGTAGAAGGTAGAGATTACCGTAGTCTGAGACTGAAAAAGGTGGGAGGGGGTTAGAGACAGATGGAGGACTTAAAGAGTGACATAAGGATGGGCAAAGATATAAAAGTGAATTCTGGAAGAAATTCAGAGATTAAACTTAGACAGGGAATTAAAAATAGAAAACACAATGGCGAAGGGGTCACTAAGAAAAATAGACAGTCCATGACAATGAGAAAGTCCACAAATATGGTAAAATAAAATACTGAGAAAAACTGATAACGATAAACTGGAAATATACCACAGAGAGAGAGAGACAGAGGCAATGGGTAAAAAGACAGTCATTAAAAGAGAGAGAAGAGATCCGATTGAAAAAAAAGCTCTTTTCTAAATCTCTGTTGTTCAATGTTTTTCCTTTATCTTTTTATTTTTCCCATTATACCATCTCTCTCCTGTTTCGCTGAGCTTCTGCCGTCAAATTATGTCAATGTCCATGGTCATCATAATATTTAACCAGGAAACATACTCTATTCCTGTCACTAGTTTCCAAGTGCTTCTTGACGTAGCCATCAAGTTTTTCAGGGCCAGCATAATATTTATCTGAAGTAATGCCACGTGGGAGGGTAATTAAGGAAGGTTTTTAAATCAACAGTGGGACAAAAACTGAGCGGCATTCTCAAGCCCTCTTTCCTCGATTCTACAATCAGATGATTAACTCTATTGTTATGTCTGTCATGTACAATTGTTGACCAATATCTATTTATTTAAAAATATTTCCAATATTTTTATGTTTTCTTTTGTTATTCCTTATCCTTTATTTTTAATTTTTTTGCTTGATCTTTTTGGTTTATTTTGTAAAATACAAATGCCTTATTTGTGTGTTTATGTTTCACTTTTAGATGTTCATATTTTACTGTGTCTGTGTGTATAGCAGTATATGGTGGAATTGTTTGTTCATTTCTAGCTTTTTTTTGGTCTTGTATGTGGCACAAGCATTTTTATTATTTAATGCACATGCTGGATGTTTTTATCTATTGGAAAATGTAACTTATGTTAAATTCCTTTCTGTTTTTGTGATGCCGGTGGACATATTGGTGGTCCATTAACAGTGGACAGCTTTATTGTGGTGTTCTGCATGTCAATGCTGTCACATGTGTCTTTTTCAAACCATTTTTGGGCACGGAGTCTGGCTATCAATCAGGTCACTCTGAGCTCAGCCCTGTATTATTTATCAGTAGTATATGTATCATTCATTACTATAGACTTGCATGTCATTTCAGAATTAGCTTCTAGTTTTAACATATAGATAGTTTATTCATTGTACATTTGTAGCATTAACTCCCGTCATTAACTATTATTTTGTAAAAAAAAATCACTTAATTCACAATAATTATTTTGCAAAAGTGATGGTAGGGGCCGCACTCAATTCCAACAGCCACCTGGTGCTCCGGAGCAGGACCAGCAATCCCACAATGATAAGGCAATGAAAGAAATTCTCCAGGCACTCAAGGTGTTAAAGCAGTTATAATGAAACAAAAAGAACAGCAATGTTTCGACCTACTATGAGGTCTTTGTCAAGCTAACACCACAAAGCGAACATGAGTGTGCATATAGCAATCAGTACATAAAAAGGTCAACCAATAATTCACTTAAGTAAATATCATTAACAAAAGTAATTAAACGAAATCATACAAATTACACAAAGTATTTATAAATGCAACAATCCATGACTTACCTCTGTGTGTCAGAGGAGGGAAAGACAAAATAATATAATATAAAGATCTAGTGAGATATAATTAAGAGTAAAAAAAGAAAAGAGTAAAAACAGTAAAAAAAAAAAGAATGCTTACCGAAGCACCAAAGAATAGCTTCTGGTTAAGTGGAACGCAAGAGAGCATTTCCTGTATTGTAATGTACAATTCTGTTTCCTGTTGCAGCTAGTCAGTATCTCAGACCCTGAGAGAGTTTTAATTCAGACACTTTCTTTTAGGGAAGTTATGTTCCGGTCTCTGAACTCTGAGAAACATGGAGAATTAACAGTTTCATTTTGTAATATAGGTGATCTCGGGCTTGTACCCATTCCTGTTTCACCTGCTTTCTTCAATCCCTGTTGATCTGTGCCACAGCTCTGCTACCATTTTACACGTAATTGCTCTGTTCAACTTAACACACAGGTTGTGTTTTCAAGGATGCCAATATTTCTTTGGGTTAAAGGATTAATTCTCCTGTTGTCCCTGCCTGAATTTTGTTTTTAAGACCAATAAATACTTAATGTGTTAACCACAAACAGTGTTATAAGAGTTTTGTTTTTTCTTTTGTAATGAATTGACTTTTTTTCTTACAGGGAGTGATATTCTGATGTTAATTTGTTTTTAACTTAGTTATCTAGGTCTATTCTCCTGCACTTTTGTTTGTATTATCTTTCAGGTCTACATAAGTAAGGGATATGGTCTTGCCCATGAGTGGGTGAGTGTTGGATTCTTGGGTATCATAGTATTACTGCTCCCAAGGTGCCTTGACCTTCTAAAAGCTGGTGACTTAACTGGTGGTAATGGTTCTGTTGCACCTAGGGTCCTACTATATACACAATCCTGGTCTAAACATTTTTTTGTGGATACTGGATAGTTGTATCAGAGATTTTGTTCCCTATTCACCTATCTTACAATGTGTATACTCTGTGAGAAGAGCCTTATTATCCATTTAGGTAAGCTTTCATAAATTCTAACGTACAGACTTTGTCTTTTTCTTACTGATTGTGCAAATATTGATGGTAGCTTGTTTTGTTTCCCTCCCATTAGATGTTTAACGTGGGTATTACCCTACTGTGATGCTGCCATCGATTAGCCAGGAAAATTCAGCCATACTTACCGTAATTTTCTTTTCCTGGATATATCTGTGGCAGCATGGCATCCATCTCTTATTTAGTATTTTGTTTTTAGGAGCGTGAAACTAGACTAGCGATCCTATCTGGTAGGATGGGTATTTATCATTTTTATTTCCTGTCCTAAACAGCCAAGTGGACAGAGCTAACCCTATTGTGATGCTGCCATGGATATATCCAGGAAAAGAAAATTATGTTAAGTATGGGTAAAATTTCCTTATTTAGCTGCAACTAATGTAACAAAGTGAGACAGTGGGTCATCCAGAGAGGAAACATCCAATAAATAAGGGATGTAACACCCAATAAGCATGAAGGAAAAGGAGTCAATATAAAATCAGCTTGGAGGAACCGTTCTAACCTAACTTGTTCTAACATGTGGAAAGTACTGCTCAATAGTATTGGACAGAGTATCATGTTGAAGGAGTGGCTACTGATGATGTCACATACCAATGAAACCTATTTAGACTGCATTTTTTAATTAATTTTTTTTTCAATTCATTTGACAGGAAAAGGATTTTAAGTGACTATAGCAACTGCATACTTCAAAGAGCCCTATTCTTAACAAACTGTTTCACATGAGTTGGTTTATTCAAGTACAATGCTACATATGATAAATTTGTCTTTATTCATTTTTTTTAAACTTCAGTGTAAATCATATGAAAAAAACAAGATTTGCATAGTTATAGTATCGATTTGTTTAATACGTCTTGCCACCAGGTGTTTACGACTAATGCATGCCTTAACTAAATTTTTTAATTTTTAGCTGAAATGTGAAAGTTCACAAAAATGTTCATGTCTTCTATATATAGATATATACAATAAAGTAAGTGATTGAGGATAAGTAAATAGCATAATAGGCAAAACATATTTAATTACTGTACTTCCACTGATATTTTAATAATTCAAAAAGTAGTAGAATGTAATTTGCTATAAACTGTGAGACTGAAAATGTTTTAGTTTAAACATGTCTCCAGAGTCGAAGAATGGCATTCATACTTTGCCATCATGTATCTTTTATATTAGATGATATTTTCAGTTTTGGATAATGTAAAGCAATAAGGTAGGTTTAGAGGTTAAAGGTTAGTGTTAGGGAACTACAGAGGTTTAGTGTTAGTGTAGTATAGGGATTACTATTTATATGTATTTCACTATGTGAGTTTGCTAACAGGGTTAGCATTTCTATGGAATATAGTCTCTAGTGATTTGTGTAGAGTTCTGCAGACAGTAGCCACTGCAACTTAAAATTTTGTTTCTTCTAGTGAATTGTTAGTATTTTCATTCAGTATGGATACAATTGATGAGATAGTTGTGCTGGGATCAAGTAATTTCACAATAGGTATGAGAACATTCCTTTCCTGAAGTATTCGGTTCTGTAATGTCATGCCCAACATAGAGTCAATTCCCAATGAATTCAGGAAGGAGTCCATGATGATATCACTTAAACTGAGACTGGTCAGTTCACTAATCACTGCCATCACATAATCTTCTGATTTCATGTAAGTATGTTTGGAAGATCCATTAGCACGAATTGTATCCTTCGTAGTAGTAAGTTCTTCCCTAATTGCATTGTATATTCGCTTCTTCAATGTTGGAACATAAGACAGTAGGTTATCATGCATGGTTTGAACATCAAATTTGATGATCGCTTGTTGGGAATTATTAAGTTTAAGACATTTTTTAAGATGTTTATGCATCTCCTCAGTGTTAAAAAGAATTAATCCTTTTGCTTCCAACATTTCTTGAACGTGGTTTCTTTTGTTTAAAAGTCCAAGATTGAGGGCACCCCAGTTGATTGATTGACCAGAAAGACCCATATTCCTTCTGTATTGACAGAATATGTCTAGAAATGAGTTGGCAGCAGCGTAATTTGCTTGTGCAGCATTTCCTACAAATGAAGCAACAGAGGAATAACATACAAAATAATCCAGTTCCTGATTTATTGTAGCACGGTGCAGATTTATTGCCCCATCCACTTTAGGCTTCAACACCTTCTCAAACAGTGATATGTCGAGATGCTGTAGAACCCCGTCATGTAAAACTACAGCACTGTGAAAAACACCTTTGATTGGAATGTTGGGGAATATTTTCTGTATAAAATGCATGGTTTTTGTTACCTCGGAGTAACTGCTTATGTCACATGAGATGGCTGTGATTATGACATTTTTCTGATCACCCTTAGCCTTTTTAATTTCCTGTTGCATTTCAGGGGTGGGATTTCTTCTGGAAAGAATTACAATGTTGCCACCACCATTCCGCACAATGAACTTTACTGTTTCAAATCCAAGACCAGTCAGTCCACCGGTGACTATGTAAATAGCACCACGTTTAAATAGTGTTTCCTGTTTTGCAAACAGTGAGATACTTGAGATGTTTTTGTCAAGGTCAAGAAGTGGTAAAGAATGGGCTGTGAAGTAGCTGAATCCTTTATCAGCAGTGCAGTTTCTGCTAGCGTGTGTGGAACTTGCCATATTTAGAGATATGTCTTCATGTATTGACTGTAGCCATTTGTAAATGTCTTTGGAAAACTGATATATATATCCTCTCTGCAAGATGGTAACGGGATTGAGTAAACAAATGTGTATATCCTGCCTGCAGTGTTCATTTAAGGCCTGGAAACGTATTAAAACTAAATCCTTAAGTAAGGGTAATTGAGAAAGATCTTCCATCAAAATGTTTGTAGATGAATGCAGAATAATCATGGCGCTGCACTGCTTGGCATTTATATCAATCTCCGATGATACTTTTGGATCCCATCCTCTTCTTTTTGCAGTATTAATGAGAATCATATTCAGAATGGAGGTTTTTTCTGAAGATATAATTATGAGTTTAGGTTTATTTTTTGCTGGTGGCAGTTGACGATGGAAAACTTCCCAGGCTAAAATAAAAAGAGACACACAAGGCAGTTTCCTTAAGACTGGGACTTTTTTGATTAAGTAGCAGACAGACTCGGGAAGACTTGTTCTGGATGATGCAGCTGTAGGATAACATGAAGCAATGCGATCACCAACTTTAAGCTTCTTAACACCTTTTCCAACTTTTGTTACAGTGCCAGTGAAATCCAGAGCAAGGAGTTTATGTTTTTCCTTAGACAAATTGCTCCAGTACAAAGTATTTCCAAACTCAAAGCTTGAGGTAGTAACAGGAAAAAAATCTTCTGTATGCGAACATATCAAATCAATCTGAACCTCAACACATGTTTCTGTGAGCTTTATGTCACTGGAATTATTTAGTTCAGCTGAAAGTTCTGTTACCCTGTATGGATTCTCAGTAAATAAGATAAAACTGTCAGACTTTTTCAAAGGTACAGCATGCACCCTTTGTTCTCCAATGTCCATCTCAGTTCTAGCAACTTCATTAGTGAATATCTGACCCTTGTTTATCCAAATTTCTGGATAGTTCTTTGGACTGAAATTGTGGACAACATGTGCCAGAGTTTTTACATCTTCCCGATTTGAAGAAGAAATGTCAATCAGCTGAAATGTTATGTCAGACATCTCAATTATACAACTTCTAGTCATCCCAATCAGAGCAAAGCCTGGATTAATGTGATCCACCGTGGTTCCAGCTGTTCTGAATGTGACTGTTCTTATAGAGGCTCCTGGAATAAGTTGTTTCACAGCCAGAATCACTTGTCGATATGTTTCACAGCATTTTGCTAAGTAGTGAGTCAGATTTTGAGAACTTTCACTGGGTGTGTGAATTCCCCACATAAACAAGATCTCCTTATACTTACTTTTGATTTTTTTCGTTAATTGTTGATGTAAATCACAGCTGTTAAAATGTACAAACTCCAGTCCATCATCTGTAAATTCAGCTAACTGGTGGCCAATTCCTATACTATCAGCAAACACTAGAGTTTTTGGTGTCAGAGTTGGTTTATTCATCTCCTCTGGTACTTGGACCCATTTGTTTTGGAAGAAGATGTTTCTTAGTTCGTTCTTTGACTGTTTAAGAAATGTGATCTTGGAATGTTTTATTTCAACTAAAATAAAACCATTTTCATCTGAAAAGCATCCACAAACAACAAAATACTTTTTTGCCTTTTTGATTGTTTTTAGGTGTATATACATTACTTTTTGTAGAGGCCTGAGTATTGTAAGACTTCCCACTTCAGAGGGGAATAGGACTGTAGGTTCTTTGTCTTGTGTTCCTGCAATGACACTCATTTGAAAAAAGCTGTCTAGGACTACCGGATGAATGTAATTCTCATACATTGTTTCCTCGATCTCTTCCGTCACAGTGACTTTCGCAAGACCTTCCTTTAATTCTCCCCCATAGTGTATGTCTGATAGTTGTCGGTATGCTTTCCCATACTGAAATCCAAAAAGTGATAGTGATTCATAAACTTCATCTTGTTTCAAAACTAAATTACATCTTTTTAAGATATGTTGAAATGAGATTTTCTTTTCTTCTACAGATATGAAGTTTTTTTCTATTTTTCCACTTGCGTAAACATGTGAAGACAAGATTTCAAAATGTGTCACTTTGTTCATTTCTTCCAGTTTAATATTTAAGTTAAGAGTTTCCTGGTTAACAATACAAGGCCTATTGAAATGTATGTACACAGTGAGTGAACTCAAAGGCACTTTAGGCTTTAAACTGGAAATTGTAGCTGCCAGAGCAAGCTCTACATAGAATGATCCTGGAACTAGCACCATTTCATTATTTTTGTGTTCATAGATGTAGGGTGTGTGTTCTTTAGAGACTGTGCATCTAAATTCTGTGAAATCTTCGTTCATACTGTGAATTAGAGAATGACTCAATTTGGTAAAACTTTGGTTTCCTTGATGAATTTTCTCAAAGTTTACATCTTTTTTAACATGGTCAAACTGATATCTGGGAATAGCTGCTGGTGGAGATTTATATGTTTCATAGATGTTACACCAGTCAGGATTGTATCCTTCTGTAAAAAGTTTCACCAGAATGGAAAATATTATCTCGTATTCCTTGTCCAGCTGAATTGCAGGCAAAACATTACTGGTTTGCCCCACAATTTCCTTAATATTGCGCTCTAAGCCTCTCCTCGGACCAATTTCAATAAACACTGCATTTTCATTATGTTTAATAGAAGATCTTATAGCTTTGTCAAAAACAACTGGCTCTCGAATATTCCTGGCCCAGTAATCACCAGTTGTAAAATCTCCATTAGAAGCTTTCTCTCCGGTGACAGTGGAGATAAGATCTATTTCAAGCTTGTGTGGTGTTAGATCTTGCAGTTTGTCTTTTATCTCCTCTAATATAGGATCCATCAAATGACTGTGGTATGCTGCAGGAACATCTAATTTGTAAAGAAATATGTTCCTTTTGCTGTACTGTTGGTTTAATTGATCATGGAGTTTTACTATTGATTCTGCATCGCCAGACACTGTGCATGAGGTAGGACTATTATAAGCGGCCATGTTTATTCTTTGTCCATATGACCTGATATCTTTTGATATTTCGGTCACAGGTATATTGCTCACTACCAGCATTTTCCCTCCAGTGACTTTGGATTGCAACGTGCTCCTGTAATAAATCACTTTCACAGCATCCTGAAGTGAAAGAAGTCCAGAACAATGTGCGGCAGCAACTTCTCCAACTGAGTGTCCAACGATAGTGTCTGGTTTGACTCCCCAATGTCTCAGTAGAGCCACTAATGAAGTCTGAATGGTAAAGAGCAGTAACTGTGCAATGTCTGGTCTGGAGAAATCATCATACTCACTCTCTAGTAACTTCACCATGGAAAGAGATGTATATACCTGAAGTAACTCATCTATCTCAATGCATTTCTTTCTAAATACCGGTTCTGATCTCAGTAACATCTTGCACATCCCTTTATATAAAAGTCCATTACCACAGAACACGAACACTAGTGTAGGACTTTTTTGTGCAGGAGATGATTCAGTGTTTGCTTTTGCTAGTTGTTCTTGTAAATGTTTTAAGGACGATGCTAGAAATGCTTTTCTAAATTTGAAGTTCCTGTGGCTTCTTCTACATGCAGATGTGTAGACCAAGTTCTCCAGAGACAAAGAGTCCACTTTGTTTAACTGCTGCTTTGTGTCTTCAATGGTGAGTTGGAGGGATTTACTGGAAGCTGCAGATACAACAAAAATTTCAACAGGCCTTTTTGATAAACATTTTGGGGAATTTTGTTTATGTTGCTTCAGCACAACATGAACATTAGTCCCACCAAACCCAAAACTGTTAATGCTGGCCACTCTGCCAAGTTTATTATCAGCCCTCCATTTTTCAGGAGTTATTGGAATAGTTAAATTGGCTTCTTCTATTTGTATAATTCCTAGATCTTCGGAATAATGCAATGATGGAGGAATCACTTCATGGTGCATCATTAGGAGAACTTTAATTAAACCAGCCACCCCGGAAGCAGACTCTGTGTGACCAATATTTCCTTTAACTGAGCCGATCTTTAGAGGAGATCTACTAGGACGATTTCTCCCAATAATGTTTCCAATGCTGGCTGCTTCCACAGGATCCCCAACAGGAGTTCCAGTGCCATGAGCTTCCACGTACTGCACTGTAGATGGATCAATGATAGAATAGATTGTCTTCAGCAAAGCTTCCTGCTGTCTTTGAGATGGTTTGGTTATTGGTGTCATTGATCTTCCATCTTGATTTACTGCACTGGCACATATGACTCCCCACACTTTGCTGCCATCTTGCTTTGCCTGTAATTAAAAAGAGAATACCAAAAAGTAGGTTTATTAAAATGAGTAAACTGACCATTACAATGATTTGCATTAACACCTGCATTTATAAAAGGTTAAAGGGACATTATAGTCACAAGTGCAACTACATGTATTCCTGACCCTATAGTGTTAACACCACCATCTAGCCCCCCTGGGCTCCTCATGCCTCCATAAATATAGTAAAAATCTTACTGTATTCAAGCCAGAAGCTGTAACTCTGCATGCTGTTTGCCTTAAAAAACAAAACAGTCTGCTGACATCATCAGAAGTTGTAGCCTGATCCAATCACAATGCGTCCCCATAGGATTGGCTGAGACTGACAAAGAGGCAGATCAGGGGCAGAGCCAGCATGATTCAAACACAGCCCTGGCCAATCAGCATCTCCTCATAGAGCTGAATTGAATCAATGAATCTCTATGAGGAAAGTTCAGTGTCTGCATGCAGTGGGAGGAGATACTGAATCACAGGATGCTCGTGCACAGCAGATCTGAGTGCATGGAGGCATATTATGCTTCACTGTGAGTGACTGCAACTGGAGGTGTTCCTAGCTTTCAATGTAAACACTGTATTTTATCAGAAAATACAGTGTTTACATGAGAAAGGCTGCAGGGAGCTATAGTTCTCACCTGAACAACCTCATTAAGCTGAAGTTGTTCAGATGACTGTAGTGTCCCTTTAAGCTAGATTGTTGAAGATAGGTTGCACATTTGAGCTGTTATGGGATACCAAAGTTGGCAGAACATGGAAGTGCAACAGAGTTAAGTACATTTTTTACTTACCTCCACTGCAATTGTGTTTAATAGAATAAAAGAACAAGGAGCTATCACTTTTCTGAATGACAATTCCTCGATTACTGACCTAATTATGTATAACCTTTAGCTGTTACTTCACCACAATATACTATTTAGTGAATATATCCACATGTTAAGTTCTTTATAGTATACCTTGTTCAGCTTTTTAAGTAAAACAATGCCAGCTCCTTCACCTCTTCCGTATCCATCTGCCATTTTGGAAAATGGTTTACTTATTCCATCAGGAGAGATCATTTTTGCTTTGGAAAGAGCAACAAATATTCTTGGTTCAAGAATACAGCTCACACCTCCACACACCGCCATCTCACAGTCTCCTGTTTGAAAAAGTGCAATATATATTTTCAAACACAACTTACACATATATTTGGAATTATGTTTTTAAATTTTTAATACAATTTATTATGCAAACATACATATAAGTAAAATTGGTAATTTAAAGAATATATACATTTCTAGACATGTGCTCAGGAAAACAGTTCGGTTAGTTTCTGGTTTTGTTTCAGTAATTTTGAAATTAGTTTTGGCAAAATTCTATAATTATCAACTCAGAACGAACTGAAATTTGGTTGAAATTTTTTTGGGAATAAAAGTTATTCAATATATGGCGCTGTTTAGTAGATAGTTCCCTAATTTTGTTCCCCTATTAAAAGATAAATTATGTATTATATACACAAAACACAGTGTGATGACAGTGTATGTGATTGTGTTCGTGTATAGGCAAATGGCCGAGTGAATGAATTGGCTCGAATGACAGTGTGCATATATGGGTAAACAGCACAGTAACAGTATATGACTGCATGTATGGGCAAATAACAGTGTGAGCAAATAGGTAAATGTTCAGAGAATTTAGTTATGATTATTTTTGTTTTCGGTCATTTCTGGTGTTGCTGAGTGTAACGGATCACCTGGCACCCCGACTGGGTACCTCCGTTGAAAGATGCTCCTAGCGCTTCCTGAGGACTCCAAGCACTGCAGCAGACACCACAACCACCACAGAATCCGCAACCGCTGTAGCTTGACTGGAGTCTCGCCGTCTTTCTTCCACCCCGGATCAACTTCTGTCCTCCAGGACCGTATGGGACCTCTTCCTTCCACCCTGTATGAACCTCCAGCATCCAGGACTGTGTGGTGAAGACCTCTCCTCCAAGGAGAGCATGTCAGGAACAAGCTCTTAAAGGAGCTAAGTGATTCAAGCTCAGGGGAGTATGCAGAGCATAGCAATCCCCAGTGTGATTATAACCGCTCCCTCTAATGAGACAAGGCTACATTTAGAGGGATCAAGAAGAACTGTCTAAACCTTTATTTTACTTGGGACTAACCCATATGGTCATTACATTAACAATGTGGTGAAAACAACAGCCAAATCATAGCAGGCAACATACAGTGACTTATTATAACACAATGGCATATTTTTAAAGGGGTGGGGGAGACAATATTTAACAGAAAATATCTCACCTGCCTGCAGAATTAGCAATATGCAAATCTACCCGAATATGCAAATGAACCAGTCTTGCTATTCAGGTAGTGCATATTGCTGTTGCTACCAACAGAGGGCACTAGACAAGCTCCATAGCCAAACCCACCTAGTTGGTAGCAAACCTCAGCAGTACAGGAGAGCAGGCAATACATTACACAGTACACACACACACACTATAAACAATTACATTACACACACCCTGCACCTATAATGGGTACAGGGTGACTAAAACATAAGAGAAATAAAGCAACCTACATAAATAGTCTGTCTGAAGGTAGAATAGGGGCTTTAAAGCTAAATACATCAAAGAGTCATAGTCACAGGGCAGGAGGCTGGCAAGCAGGCCTCTCCAGGACCAAGTGGCGAAGGGTACTTCGTCACACTGAGTTCAGAAGCTTCTGAATTCCAAAATTTAGCAGAAATTTGGACGAAATTTAATTTGTTCGAAACTGAACGCACATGTCTTGCGTTTATCTTGTAATATTTCACAGGCTCTGAAATGTTAGTATTAAAGAAAAAAATGCAAATTTTCTCACCGTGCAGTAGGTGTGGCAATAATTAAGTAAATATGGTCAACTACTTTGCTTATAGGTATTTGTAAGGACCATGATGGCATTACTAGCAGTACAGCTTACTAAAAAATGGAACAGATTGTTATAAGAATGTATGTATTTGAGCATGATGCCCACATACAGTAAATATAGTTAAATCATATATTTCTAAAATAAAGGTATTCAAAACAGTTATAGTAAACTTAACAAAACTCTGTAATGCTAATGTAATGCTGGTAGTGAAATGGTAGTCAAGATACTCCTCCCCCTCCCTAACTGTATGAATGATGTGACCCATGGAACCTTTATGTACTGTTTGAAAGCATGGGGTGAGCTTACATTTCCTGCATGTTTACAGGAAATGTATAAGTGACTACTTGATTGTGGCAGCTATATTCCTTTCCTCTGGAGTTGGCTGGTAATCATAACTAGAGCATATATTCGCCTCTCTACTTTTTTGACTAAATTTTATTCTGTAGAATTCATGAAAATAAAACCGTTTACAATCAATTAAGGTAGCAAAGAGACCATTAGACCTCCATTAAATTAGTGTATAGCAAAATAAAAAAGCAGCCTCTGCACTCTTGTATGGCAATAAGGTACAAAACATTAGGTTCATGTCCAGTCCTGTGAGGGAACTTAAATTGGACCATGTTAAAATTATAATATCTTGGGAACAACAGGATGATCCAGAAAATTGCAAATACCTGTACTAGCGCCTCTTAGAATAATTATTAAGTTCAATATTATACAATTTAATACAATAACTACTGAACCTTGTTTGATGGCTTGACAGGCGTAATGCAGAGCTGTAAGAGAGGACGAGCAGGCAGTGTCTATTACCATGGACGGACCGTTCAGATTGAAGCAGTAAGATACCCTGTTTGCTGCAATACTTGTTGCTGTTCCCGTGCCATTATAATGATTGATTGAGGATTCATAAGCATTAAATATTGATTCCGAATCTCTGTTCATAAGACCTATAATAAAAAAAATAAAAAAAAATAAAATTTTTATTGTTATTTAAAAGAAAAAAAGGGCTACTTGTTAAAGCACTGCAATTGAAGCAAAACAATGAACTGTGGGATTTTTCCCCCTGACATTTGGACCAAAATTAGAGCATGTAGAGCACTGCCTACTGTAAAAGGAGGATGATTATCTGATAATATCATCAGGTACTGACAAGAAAGAACTATCAGGAATCTATAGTTACATACTCTACTTTTTCAATCGTTTTATGAGAATTATGTGAGCAATCTAAGCAACGACTCTCCTTTAGAAGGTCTTTACAGTTGGCCCACTATCTGTAGATTTTATACAAAAAAAAGCACGTCATCTACTCATTGGGTTGTGGTGTCTACAAATTATGTATACACAATCTTGGTTTTGTGTTGAAGCTGACAATCAAAACAAGACAAGAAATTGTTATCATCCAAAATGTTTTCATCTTGCTTGTTTAGCTGTCCACATATAATTCTGTCTATCAAAACATAGTCTTTCTCTGCAGAATTCTAAAGAAGACAGTGGATGTCACCAAAACTGCTTTTTTCGGGGACTCATTGCATTGGATTCTGTATGTGGCTTCAATTGGACCTAGCAACATCCTTATAATCTATGTATGTTTAAGTAGTATCGCATCCCTACACCTTACATGTGCCTTATTCCAGAATCCTAATTATACTTGCACTAGGAACATGGATATTCGAAGTAAGTGAGTTAATCTTACAACAGCATACATTAGAGTATCAAGCTGGACTTTCCGATAAGGTGTGCATTGGCATTGTGGCAGACTTATGCAATGTAGGATAATAACTATGTAGGCTATGTAGGCTATAACTAAATCCTCATTCTCTCATTATTTTGCCTAATTTTGTTGTTTTGGAACTTTTAAATTTGTGGGCTTTGCTATACGAAAGAGGAAGGACAGTAGCAAATTAGGCCGCATCCAGGACCTTAAAGGGGCACTATAGTCACCGAGACCACCGGCTCCTTTTGTGTGCCCCCTATGTCCAATCTGCGGGTTTCTCCTTTGCCCAAGAAGGAACAGGGTAAATATCGCCTAATTCATCATTTGTTGTACCCTCCTTTGATGTGGCGGCCCGCATTGTCCGGGCTGCCGGCTCTGGGGCCTTGCTGGAAAAGACAGATGTGGAATCAACTTTCTGGCTGCCACCAGTGCACCTGGAGTGTCATTATCTCCTGGGTTGTACTTTTAAAGGTCAGTTTTATGTGTATATGTGCCTCCCTATGGGTTGCGACCCTATCCTGTTTTTACTTTGAGTGCTTTAGCACTTTCCTGGAGTGGGTAGTGAAGTGGGGGTCAACTCCCTTTTGCACTGTCTGGATGACTTCTTGTGTGTGGAAGGGCAGAATCACATCTCCGCGCTCTGATGTCGCGGGTTCTTGGGGAAGTGTTTCAGTATTTCAGTGTTTCGTTGGCCCATGACAAGACCGTGGGTCCGGTTACGTGCCTTAATTTTCTGGGCATCGAGATTGATTCTGTGGCTGGGGAATGTCTGTTGCCCCTGACTAAGGTTCAGGACCTCCGGCAGGAGGTGTCACTGGCTGCAGTCTCTCCTAGGTAAGCTGAACTTCGCCTGTCGGATTTTGCCCATGGGGCGAATCTTTAACAGACGTCTGGCAGCGGCGACGGCCGGGATCACCCACCCTCAGCACTTTATTCGGTTTACTCGGCCGTTATGGGATGACCTAGCTGTCTGGAATACCTTCTTGGCCTCCTATAACGGTAGAACATACTGGCAAGCCTGGAGGTCTCCAACACTGATCTCCTCCTGTTTACCGATGCAGTAGGCTTGGGTGGTTTTGGGGCCATTTTGGGCTTTCAATGGTGTTCTGCCTCTTGGCTGGTAGGCTGGCAGGTGCACATGGAATCTGGCTTTCCTGCAGCTCTTCCTCATTCTGGTGGCGTTAGAAGTGTGGGGTCCCCAACTCTCGGACAGGCGGTCTTCTCCCCCGGTGGCTCGCTTGCTGCGGCGCTTGGTTCTACACTGTTTGGGTCTTAATGTGTCTTGAAGGGCTGAGCATATCCTGGGGGTTTGCAATGTAATGGCCGATGCTCTCTCTCATTCGCAGTGAGACGTATTTCAGGCTGTGCATAACCGCAGACCAGTTAGAGTGCCCATGGTGATCCCTGGCAGCCTCCAAAAGTGCATTTAAGGGGGAAACCTGGACATCAGAACTAAGTCATGGAGCAATGGAAGAAGGTTGCCTTGTCTAATGAATCACATTTCCTTTTATATCATGTGGATGACCAGGTGCATGTGCATCATATACCTGGGAAAGAGATGGCAGCAGGATGCACTATGAGAAGATTGCAGACAGGCAGAGGCAGTGTTATACTCTGGACTATGTTCTGCTTAAAAACCTTGGATCCTGGCATCCATGTGGATGTCACTTTGATGCGTACCCCATACCTAGAGATTGTTGCAGACCATGTACACCCATCCACGGCAATGGTGTTTTTCTGATGGCAGTGGTCTCTTTCACTGGGGTAATACACTCTGCCACACTACAAAAAATTGTTCTACAATGGTTTGAGAAACATGACAGAGAGTCAAGGTATTGCCTTGCCCTCCAAATTCCCCAGATCTCAGTCCAATTGAGCATCTATGGGATGTGCTGAACAACAAATCCAATCCATGGAGACCACACCTTGCAACTTGCAGGACTTATATGATCAGCTGCTAATGTATTGGTGCCACTTACCACAGGACACATTCAGAGTTCTTGTGGAGTCCAGAGTTGTTTTAGCAGCACAAGGGGGACTTAGATGATATTAGGCAGGTGGTTTTAATGTTGTGACTGATCAGTGTCCATGCTGAATTAGGTGTTTATAGAGGACAGTAACAAGCAAGCAGCATTTATACTGATAGATAGGCATGCAGTTAATATTGTTACTTTATTTTATTGCATCGTATTAACATTTGAATATATTTGCTATGTCACAATTAGTGCCTGTTTAATTATTATGTGTGGGGTATCACAGTCTCAGTGCTGTGGGTTCCCTAAGAAGTATAAAATCACTGAGTGGAGTCACTGTATATTAAATCGGGAACAATTTTCAGCCTCACGGCCGAAACATTTTTTTTTTTTGTACTTCTGATCAAATAAACCTTTTAAACCAAATATATTACATTTTGATGCCTGTGGACATCTGTTTATAATATGCACCATAAATTAAGTTAGTCAAAATGTCACAGACTTCTTGCTCCAGCAGAGATCGTTCCTGCAAGAAGCAGCATCAAGGGTGACTATCCAGCCTGCACCACCTTCACCGAAGGTGGGTGAGCAAGGGGTTACACACACATAAATATAAATGTATTTGTGGTTGGCGCAGGAGGCTGAAGATGCACTGCTTTTGTAGGGATTACAGTATAGTACAACACAGAAGAGCAAAGTGTAATATATAGTATGTTACAGTACAGAACTCTAAAGTACCAGAGAGCTGTTTTCATGGCCAATATATCTAAAGGGCCATTGAAAGCAGCTCTCTTGTGACTTGTTCAGTAACGGAACTCTACAAAGAACTAAAGAAAACTATGTTGTTTATTCAGACTTAAGGGAAAAATATTTAACCCAAAGCTACTTAGGGAATTTGTACTCTGATATATAATGGAAGCCTCTCAAGGTCTAGATGTGTTTTCAATAATGTGGCCCCATAGAGCAAGCATAACTAAAGTGAAATGGAGGCCTTGACAGGGCTAGGAGGCGGGCTTAGGTGGGGATGGCAGGGATTGGCTGGTTAGGATAGGGGCAGGCCTAGTATATATAGGGTGGCCATCCTAATTTTGCCACAACTAATCTACTCACCATTCTGGGTTGGCCCCTCCCTCCCTTGATTTGGGTTCCAGGGTTGCAGTCTCGCTTGGTCACAGCGGCGGGGTTGGTGAGGGGAAGGCAAGGGCTAAATATGGTCTATGGTAAAATTAAAAAAAGTTAAGAAAGTTGGTTGCAATGTTGGTATTATGTTGGTGGGTTTACAGCCCGTCGGGGGGCTCAGAACCTTGGAGGTGTAGGGGTATCCGGGTATACCCCTACCAGGAGGTGGTTAAGCATTATGTTGCACTTTATTTATGCATATATTTGTGTCATTACACTGCTATGGAAATGTTTACTATATGGGTCATTGCCTTTTTTGTGACAGATGGGTATGTATGGTGATGTATGGGTGGAGGGCAGGGCAATGACTTTACAAGTTCTGTTGATATTTTGTAAAAGGTTATTATATATATATATATATATATATATATATATATATATATATATATATATATATATGATGTCTTCAATAAAGCTGTGGACATATTGACCCATACCTCTGAGTGTCCACGTTTTAATGATAACAGGGGTGGGTATGGGGTTATCTCCACCTGCCCTTATGGCGACTATGCACCGGTCATGCATTGTCAGGCCCCTCAAGAGTTCCAATTTCAGCAGGACTGTTCCGCATCTGGGGATACCAGGAAACTTCCCTTGCCCAGCACAGCATGAGCGCATGATTAGATGTACACACACTGTCCATGGGCACAACAAATGGCCTATTTCCAAATATTATAATTATCAGCTCTTAAATACATTTATTATATTCATGATCATTTTACCTATAAAGACTCCAGTGTTGCTTCCACTAACACTCTCCATTGGATATCCTGCATCCTCCATTGCACGAAAGGTAGATTCAAGCAGTAATTTGTGCTGTGGATCCATGTTTTCAGTCTCCGAATTGGAAATTCCAAAGAGCTTGTTATCAAATTCATCCAGTCTATATAGATTGTGAAAATAAGGTTGCACAATTTATATAAATTTGAGAAAAGGCTTACATATATAGAAAAATGCACAAACAATCAAATTAAATGATTACATAAAACTGGTTTCACTTAGGTGAGGAGGTCTGAGAAAACTACCCTTCTCCCCATTAATAAATGCCAGATAATTGGATGAGACACATTTAATTAACCCTTACTTATTACTCTTGATCAACGACTGCCAATGTAGGGGAGGCTGTGAGTTAGCCCACAAAGGGAGGGAGGGAGTGGAGCTACAAACTTCCTCTTGTGGACACAGATTACATAAATATTCTGAGAAATTGCTAGCATTTTTCTCATAAAAAACAGTGGCACTAGAAACATATGCACCTCCAATCAACCTGATTGGCGCTAAGTGTGGGTACATATCAACACAAAACTGCTACATTGCAGCATACATCTGAAGCAACATTGTGTCATTTGAAGATACCTAAGAGTGAATGAGTTGCCTCATTCCAACAGATACTGTGAAGGGCAAAACAACTAATGCTTTATGAAGTTTCAAAAAAGAAGAAATGATTTGTGAGCTAAATGATCGAAATGGTTTATATCACAAAAATTACCAGGCCATCAGATTATCATGTTGCTATTTTGAAATGGATTTAAAAATTTTAAGAATTTTTGGGACCCTGCTGCCTCTTTAGATACCCTTGCAGATGTCCATGTCCATTTGACTGCAATTAAACTAAAATTAAGTTTAATTCTAAATTGGAAGGTAACCCCATAGAGTCTATTAAGAATAAATATTTCAAAATGATAGAAAAAGGGAGAATTTTAAAAATTTTAAATATGGGAAAGCATTGGTTTGGCTAAAAATTGGCCATTTTGATTATGTCTCAAAATGGGCGGAGCCAGCAATGGCAGACCCGCGCGGGGCTGGAAATAAGGTGAGTTTTAAACTTTTATAGGGAGGCTAAGGGGGGGAAAGCCACCTAAAAGGTGGGCTTAGCAATATAGGGTCAGGAATACATGTTTGTGTTCCTGACCCTATAGTGATCCTTTAAATAAAAGGATCTTTTTAACTACATCTATTTCTTGAGAAGTCGTTTCCATTTTCTCATGTCTGCTATCGTCATCACCCCATACTAGTGTCACTAACTGTATGGAACAATGTCTTCATCAACCATTTTAAAACTGTAAACTAAGAACTTTTGTTTCTACCTCCATTCATACCCCCTAAAAATGCAAATAAGCAAAAAAAAAGGACACTTCAGTTTAAGGCATGGAGAGGCAAAGACAGGTAGCTGGTCTACTCTAGGTGAATATTAGGTCGATGTGTGTTCAAATTGTTCATATATACAAATACATCCATAAAATTAGAGCTTATAGTAAAGAAGAACATCAGGATAGAAAATAGGGAAAGCAGATTTTAAAGGCCATACTAGTGGCGTCCCTCCTAAAAGTGTGTTCCTTATATAATTCAGAGTGTAAGGTCACGAACTATCATATTGATCAATTTTTATAATAGAACTTTAAATCGCTTACCCCTCGATGAGAGCTGCTCGACAGGTCCAGGATTTGCCCGGTTTGTTATAATCTGGATCATACCACTTTTTGACATCAAACCTTTCACTGGGGATGTCTACTGCGCAGTTTCTTCCCTCAACAATTACTTTCCAGAAATTATCAATGCCTTCACCTGTTCAATAAATCGCCATGTTACATGACTGAATGCCATGAATGAATGCCATGAATGCTCGGTCTGCGCCCACAGGAGCTTGACCATGACTCAAATGAACAGAGGGTAATTAAATTAGCATTTTTGATTAAAGTCAATTGTACCATATGAGAAAGTGATTTTGTGCCTGATAATTTTTGTGCCTTTTATGGGTGCTTGGCGAAAGGGGCTTTCAAGAAAGTGGAGAACAAAAAACTCACCTCCTGGGAAATTACAGCCAATTCCAACTATTGCAATGTGGTCTTCAGTGTCATCCATTCTGACAATTTTCCCTGAGAGGAGATAAAGGATTGCTATAAAAAAAACAACCATACAACTATTCAGTTTATTTACTAGCTGCTGCAACTAACAGCGTAATCAATAAATTAGTTAATTCTATAATCTGTAAAAAATATTTACTATTGAATAGCATAGTTTGTAAGGATGAATTCCAAGTGTAATTCAACACTTGCTCTATTTTCACAATGTTAGTTTAGTTTAGTTTAGAAAAAACGAGTTAATGACCATTAAAAACTGTAAACATCAAAACATCTTTGCTGTTGCAGCTATAAAACACCCAGCTGTGTACAACAAAAATGTATGCTGGACGTATATAACATGAGAGAGTCAAACAGCTCTTTTCTTTCTTCACCACGTCTTATGGGTGGAGATTGATTCCATAATCAAATAAAGACATGTTAGATTTCTCATAATCTTTACTCCAACCCTTCAGGTGCCCAAAATTGCATTGCCACCCAGTCTTAGAGCAAATCCAGGAGGCATGCCTAGGTTTATTTATATAATGACATTACCAGGCAAGCCTCACTTTTATGCTTTTGGTACCAGGTTATAGTAACATCTCCCATTTACCTGCTGGACATCTACCAAGTTAAACCTTATCTCCACTCTCCCACACACAAGAGATTGGAGGCCATTAGCCAGTCCTCCACTGAGACCACACACTTTATTGTTACTTTTTTATATTACTAAAGAATTAATGTGTTCAATCTACCACAAAGATCATCTAGCAATAGTTATGGATATTCCCCACCATTTTTTTTTTTGGGTGGGGGGAGGTTGGGGCTAATCCTTTACTACCACTTAAATGTGTGTTCTCTACAAATATTGATTAATCATACAAAGCAACATCAAATATTCCTGATGTCAACAAGATCATATATTTATTTGGTCATTTCAGATTACTATTTTTTTCATCTTATCTAAAAACTAAGAACAGTAAAGGTTAACTGCAGTTTTTTTTTTATATAATGCCAACCTATTTCACAGCACTTCACAATATAATAAATGATATCCTACCATATCATTGATTATGTGGTTAGTTTCTTTGACAATAGACTATTTTACAATTCTTTTTATGGTTATGTCATACTGTGACGAAAGTAACCTCGTCACTGGCTTTTGGAGGGGCCTGTTTGCCAGCCTCCTACCCTGTGATTATGGCCCTGTGACGAACTGAACCTCGTCACGGGTTCTTGGAGGGGCCTGCTGGCCAGCCTCTTGCCTCAGGACTATGGGCGCTGCAATATACCTTGCCCAATGCCCTTTAAAAGGCTCTGTTAATGTGAAGTATGTACTTTTGTACTCCAGACAGAGAGACCGACCATTAGCCCTAATTCTCTGGAAATGTTTTGGGCATGGGACCATGTGCACGGTGGGTCAAAAATAAGACTTCCAGGACATTCCTGAACCCCTGAACTGATCTTGGTGATTTTTGGATATGTTGGTCACCCAGATCAGGGCTATCAGGGCTTGTGGGGTTTTATGTATTTTAAGGTACTTTTGGGGTGTTTTGGGGTGTTTTAAAAAAGTGTTTTTCTGTGCTTGGAGATAATTGTATTAAAATTAGTACAGTTACTGATCCAATTATCTCCCAAGCAGAAGGGAGGGATTGTGTGATGTGTATGGGAGTGTAGTGCATTTAATCACTGCTCTTATTGGTCTGTGTCTTTGTGTTGGAGTCCCCAACAAGATCCATGTGGGCGTACCCCTTGCATGGGGATTGTCATAAAAGGCCAAGTGTGGCTCCCATTAAAGAGAGATTCGTTTACCCCTTCTTGAAGTTTTGACTCATGTTTGGGGATTGGAGAACTACATACACTCTGGGGATTGCTATAACACAATACTCCCCTGAGTATAATCACTAGCTCTTATAAGAGCTGTTTCTGCTATGCTCTCTGGACTAGGAGAGGTCTACCCACTGGAAGCTGGATCCTGGTCTTGGGTCCAGGGTGGGTGGAGGACAGCGAGACCCCAACCAAGCTGCGGCAGTTCGTGGGGTTTACAGTGGTAATGGTGTTCCATGCAGTGCTAATGGTACTCGCAAGTACTAGGAAGCACCGATTGACGGAGGTCAGGGTGCCAGGCGGTCCGTCACACATACCATAAAAGAATATGCCACTAACTGCTTGACTTTGTCTTCCTCAGTTACTTAATGATTTAAGTCAGGCATTTACTTTTCTAACTTTTCCAGGTGGTAGCCTGGCTAGCATTGCATAGCTAATAGATGGTACACCAGCATGCTACAACTGGCCCAACACGACATATGAACCAAGAACACGACATAGTTTCCCATGGAGTGTTTTTTTTTATGTTGGATGCTTTTTAATACCTGTTACTAAATATCAAAGTGAAATACCCCTCCACCCACTTAAAAAAAAAAACAGTCAAACAAAAACAATAGTGTCACTCACTAATAAATAAATACAATTATTGTATCTACCCAAGCATTGCCACATTTTGTTTTTGGTTTGGAGACTCCATGAACTACTTTAAAATACACTTGTGGAATGCTGATGATTCATCTATTATTACCAGCTCGGTGAGTTCTGTATTAAATCTGAAAAAAAATGTAAGTGTCGTTTCCCAGCCTGGCTGTACTATTTGCCTTTAGCTCCTTTGCTTCCTGCTTATCCAGTCCATTCAAATGAGCTCTTTTAGTGTGAATCAGAGGTTCCACGTGCAATGGCAGCTTTGCGGCCTACTCGACAAAACAAATCTCAGGTGTCTACTGCATAGTACCTGGCAGCTTCCTTCAACCCAGCGGACTGCAGATTACTCTGCACTTTTGATGGACACTTGATTCTGCAACCGATGCAATTAGCAGTTAACAGTGAGCCCATTTCACACTTTGTACTGTGTTCTGGCTGCATGTGGTTAATAGGGATCTGCTTTAGTACCATCTTACACAGGATTTTACACATACCTATACCTGTGGGCTCAAACTTTCCATTGGGCCAGTTTCCACTACATTTTGGTGCTCTCTGAGAGGGCATTTACTATAAATTCCCCTGACACGGATGACAAAGTCAATAGTAATCTTGAAGTCTTGTTTCATAAAATGTACATTATTTACTGACCAATATTTTGAAGATTTACCTCTGCAGCTATCACTGGTTATCCCACCTTTTCAAATCCCTCCCCCCCCCCCTTGCATCATGCCTATCAATGCAGCTCATCAAGTGAACAGAGATGGTAGATCCAGATGCCATTTTGGACCCTAGGTGTCCTTTCATCCCCTGAGAACATACAGTACTGTGTGCACTAAACTATGGTGGTGATTGGGCTTGACTTCTTATTACCTTAGAGAGACAGACATAATAAGGTCACTGTATCCATCACCTAGAGGAAATAAGCACCCCTCGTTTGATGATGTAATGGAGGGTCCTATAGTGCTGCTGTATGCTTTTTTGCAGCTTCGTCACTTCTGCCTCTCCCACTGGTCCACTATGAATTATATATTTGTTTTGGGCATACACCTTAATACATATGAGCATGGCACTGGGCTTCTTGTTATTGTGAGTATATGCAAATGACTGAGAGACCTCCAACTACCGTATGTCTCATTAAGTCCAGATGATCTCCCTATCTTGTCTTCCTTTAGATGTGTGTTCCCTTATACTGGCATACAAATTCTTGTACACTCTTGGTAGCTCCCTAGCTATTACCGTTAACGGGTACCTGTCATGACAAATACAACTTAATCTTAAATGATCTAGAATCATATTTCACGTACATATTATGCAGCAGAATTGCTAGCAAATGTCTAGATTTCTCTAAAATCAGAGGTCAAAGGGACGTTATAGTCACCCATTAATTACAAATAATTCCAACCTGAACTAGGTGGTAAAATAAGAAGAATAAAAAATCTAGAATCTAGAAAAAGGAGCAAGATGAGACTTATGGGAAAGAAGAGTGACAAGGGCAAAGAGAGAAAGACAAAAAAAACTATAATAAACAAATAAAAAACAAATTAAATACAAAAAATTTAATTAAAAAAATAGGAATAAAAATAAAATTAAATAGTAAAAAGTGAATATGGAGGCGTTGGTTAAACACAACTTGTCAGCATGTGGACCCAATATGACAAACAGCTGGCAGTCAAGTGGGGGCCTGCACAGTATGTCATGTATAGCTCTAATTTAATATTTTTGAATAAGCATTTTAAGGTTTTCATTGTTGATATTCTATTATGTGTATGTTCTAGGTGTCAGTATTTATAATGCAGTTACTTATCAAAATCTGATCTTTTACATCAAATCAAACATTAGATGTAAAATATATATTGTTTGATTTGATGTAAAATATATTAAATGTAAAAATATATTAAATGTAAAAAAACAAACAGAAACCCAAATCTTGGAACTAATGATATTAAATAAAAAATAATTATATTATATTCCTATATATTCTTAAAATACTTTTTAGATAAAGAAAACTTAATAGTAACATTCTAGAATCCAGCGTAACCCAGATGTGCCCAAACATATTTAAGCTAAATGTTTCTAAATTACAATTGCAATAACTATTTTTTAATACATGTTAACATTTTAGCAATTTTCTCATATTCATGCCAAAATATTTAAAACTATAAAATATATGAACTTATGTCTAAAAATATTACTTATGGCATTTTAAAGTATATTCTATAGCAGTATGGTGTCTACCTGTTTCGTTGATGTCTTTGAACAAAATATTCTACTCCTACATTGTCATTGTCATTTATAGATCATTGGATTATATAATTATGTTAAAGATTAAAGCAATCAAGTCATGATATGAGGTCAATTCATTTGGATCAAAATCAAAAGGCCATTAACTTCAGAAATTGGCAATAAAAAGGTACTACTCCTTAGAACGAAGACTCACGCATTGACCGAATGATTAACCTTCAAAATACAGTTTAAATAGTAATAAAATCAAGTCCTAAACTATTCTTGTAACTCCCTTTCACAAAGTGACAACAAATAATGCATCACTATAGCAATAAGCACTGCTATTTGTTTATATGGGTGAGATTTCTGGCGCTTGTCTTCCCAATCCAGTCTCTTCTTCCAGTTTGTGGGTAGATACAATATGGAATAAGGGGGTGTAGGGAAGCAGCGCTTTCAAAGTATCCTCAAACCTAAATAGGAATGCAGTAATATGAAAAATACCAATTACCAGTGAGTTAACTAAAATAAATTACAATCGTCTCCAGATATGTGCGCTTGGATGGTACAATCCTCGCCTGTGGATATGCTGATGGTCTTGGTCCTTTGTTAGAATATGTTCCAAGGCCAGAAGATAGCTTTTGGTGCTATGTGTTGGGAGTGTTCTTCTCTAGTGCACAGTATAGTCGCAGTAGGAGTTCACCGGTATATGGATTAGAAATTAAACTTAATTTAGTGCTCTCTTTATAAGTGCAAAAAAAGGATAATAAAAGGAGGTAAACTCACAAAATGAGACCAAAGAAGGTTTTGCTTAATCCCAAACAGTATAGGTATTATATTCCCCCCCAACAAGGAAATAAAATTGTGAAGCCTCCAGATAAAAACTTCAGAAATAAAATCAGGAAGATCTAAATAGAATTAAAAAATAATAATAATAAAAACAAAAATATAGCATAGAACACCAATAAAACACTTGTTTGTGGTTTATGCTATAGTTTTTGCTTTATTATTAGTTTTCAATAAAACTAGCTTTTTATCCAGCTTGGTTTATCCAGGGTTTATGTAAGAGCCTGTGGTTATGCCTGCTACTTTTTGTGTTACTTTTTTAAGCATTTGTTCTTATTTCTGTATCTTGTCATTTTCTTCTCATCTATCCAGTATTTGTCTATTAATGCTTACCTGGACCTTATTGTGATGTGTCTTTGGGTTCCTAACGGCATGTACATGAAAATTGTTTGAGAATCGTTAATTAGCTCAATGCAGTAACATTCTAAAGAGTCAAGCACCCCCTCCTGCACTGCCACTACCTGTAGCACAACAGAGTGGACTAAAATAGACAATGATGCCTTACCTGCTCCTCTGCCTTGTATCGAATTAGAGCTCTTAAAAGTCTTAAAAGGGCTAAAAGTGAACAGATTACAAAGGACAAAAATTATTCCAAGTGCAGTTTTTCAGCAGCTGTAGATAGACATCATAAAGAAATAAAAATATATATATTGCAATATACCCTGTATATTGACAACTAAACATTGTGATCTATGGGATTGGAACAGGTGGGTGCTTGTCTGGCAACATCCCTCAAGAGAAGGCCCATCTGCAAATCGGTGCACACTCACTAAAGGGGCATGTCAGTTGGGTGTCAAGGCACACTAGACTGACTGACATCCTCAGTTCTGGCCCGCCACACAGCATTGTGTTGTGTTAGATTATTATTATTTATTATTTACCGTCTATCAAATAAGGCTACCACTGGTTGCAATCATGTACCCACATGATAAATCTAATGAGTTACAAGGTAAAGAAATCATTATTGACTTGTGCAAAACTTTTGTTCATATGAATCAATTTGTACAATTAAAAAAAAAAAAACATTCAGATATGTTCCACATTCAGTCAACATTCACTAATTTTAGTGTTCAGTAACTTTTGAGCATTTGGTTGTAAATGTTAAGCATTCAGTCCAACTGATCCCTGGTTTATATATTATTTAGGTGTTTATTTTTTTTTTAGTCAATCTTTGTTTTATTGGATGGTTGATGACATACAAACAATAGTAAAAAAACAGAAATATGCATTTAGTACAGTGAAGTGTTACACAGTTAAAGTTATAAGCAATTCTGGGTGATAGAGCCATCTCTAGCCCAAGAGAAATAACAGGCCAAACATGCAGGCATAGGTTGGACTAGGATTACGACCATACGAATGAGTAAGAAAAAAAGTGCCAGGCTAGAGAATTACTAAGAGATTGAACATGAGATATCAAATTGTACTATTCAGGATACTGAAAAACCCCTGGAACAAAGAGAAAACAAACATCTAGCATCTCAGCTGTACATATATAAAAGAAGCGGTAATGTTACTGCCTAGGTTGCTCAGGCTATGCCTGTAGTGAGCCAAGCTAGAGAGGCAGTTTCGGTGCTGGGGAAAGATACGCTCACCCAATGCCACGTATGGGCCACATGCCCGGCTTCTTGTCACGGGCCGGACCCTCTGCTGTAGATCGCAAAGCGAGTTGAGCTCTCCGCCAGATTTGCTGCCCCCTTGCGTAGTCATCAGATGGGCTATACTAAGCTGAAATCCCAGCTGGCAAGTGGGCTGGAAATCACATTTTATCGGGTTCACACAACTTTGGCCACAGGCCCTGATGGGAGCTGCTGCTTTAAGTCTATAGAACCTTAATGCCTTCTGTGGCTTGGAGTCCACCATGGGTGCATGGACTGTGGCATGGAGTTATTTCCAAATGAGCCCCCAGCCCGGGTGAAGAACCGGTGGCTGAGTAGACATTGTGGGTTGGTCGTACAGCAGGATGGATAAGTGCTGGTCTGCTTTGGATGCGGCTCCAAAATGCTTGGCAGATTGCTGCAAACCTTGCTTCAAAGGCCTACTACCAATGCTGGGTCTCTGGGCTTTGTGGGGATCTTGGTTGCACCACGTGGTGTAAGATTCTGCTGCTTAGTGTGTTAGCTTTGTGGGGATATCCCCCGCAGTTCCAAAGGGATGGGTTTAATGGAGCCTCAAGTGTTCCGCACCGGGTAGCGCTTTGTGTCAGGAAATCGTCCGCCTTTCCTAACCATCTGCATTTATAACTTGGTAGGCTGCAGTCACGGATGTCAGGAGGCCACAATAATAAACATGGTTTTACTCTGTCGGTGCACCCCGAAACAGACTGAATGTGGTACGGCAGTAAGTGGGGATTGTTGAGTTGTTCCAGCAAGTATTTGTGTAGTTTTAGCCCCTGTACAGCTAATTTAGCAAGAGCTAAAGAGAAGCACGTCTGGCCGTCTTAAGTGCCTGGCCCCGCCACCCTATTTATTTCTTTGATTTAGTGGATGTCCCCTAAACATTAATCAAACCAGCACATCCATTGTCCAGTCTAATTGCTTTGTATTTCTATCAAGTTACGGCAAGTTGGATTTACGGAATTCAGACGACCCTACCGATCGGTCAAATTTCGGACGAATTGCAGTTCATTTGAAAAAAAATGTCTTCTGAATACCATGCACAATGATGTGTCCAGCATGAATGGAAATATTTCTGTGAATCTCTGGAAGGATGTAGTATATATGAATTCACAGACATAGAATATCTGCATATTTTTATTCTCTATTATTTAGAATACTTTTCAGTTTACATTTTTCTTTATATTTTCAATTTCGTGTAATTGTTTTTAATATTCACTTGTACAGGGTGGGTCAAAATTCAGAGTAGGATTTCACAGGTAAATAACAGAATAATCTGTTAGTAATTCAATATTTTATACACCCAGGTTATAAAGAATGTGTCATTACAGATTAAAATAATGCAACCCGTTAACAACGCAGATTATAAAATGAGATTGGAGTCTTAAACCAGATATGAATATCTAAGAGATAAACTGCAACTGCATATGGTGTAATACAGTTCAAACTAATAAAGAAAGAGGTAGTGAGCACTCACAACATGGGAATGATATTATAACTGAGTCTTGGGAGATTCATCATGGCTAATTTCATGAAGGAACAATGAATTAGCAAGAGAAAACATTGAATTTATTCATCAGCTCATCATGTCTTATGAAGATTATCTTCCTTTAAATGGCTTTATAAACAAGCAAAACTGTTGTTTCTGGGCTCCAGAATATCCAAGGATTAATCATCAGTGCCAATTACACCCTACCAAATGCATCGTCTGGTGCGGGTGACCTCGCAGGATGTTATCGGGCAGACATTTGAGTGCTAGAGCTTCAAACGTTAACAAATGTTATCAACATTGCAGTCAAAAGAGCTCGACTTGCAAAGGTGACAAATGGAGTTAATTTAAAAGATTTCATCTTCTGTACCTAGTCAAACAAATATTTAAAGGTTAAAGGGATTCTATAGTGTAAGGAATGCAAATCTGTTTCCTTACACTATAATTCCTTCTAGCTCCTCCCTCCCCTACCCCCCCCCCACCTCGCACCACTGCTGCAATGCTTAACTATGGGGATTTAACGGACGCTGGATTTCCTCATGCAGAGTGTGAGGATGTCCAGTGTCAGTTAAGCGACCAAAAGTCACCTAGCAAGCAGGAAGTGTCTCTAGTGGCTGTCTGATTGACAGGCACTAGAGGCAGTCTTAGTCCTGCAAATTAATCATTGCCGTTTATCAAAAACTGCAATTATTTACATTGCAGGACTAAGTGGGACTAGAACACTGCACCCACACCACTACAATAAGCTTAAGTGGTCTAGGTGCCTAAAGTATCCCTTTAAGCATTCATTGTATGGAATATCATTGAAATTGGTTAATTGATCAAAAAAACGCATTGACTCCTCCAAGCCTACTCTGAATTGTGGCCCACTGACCGAGTATCTCCGCCAAGTCTGCTTCCTAGCTGCCACAGTGGACTTAGGAGTGCTTCAACGCCAGTTGCTGAAGTTTGACTGGGGTATCTTTTGAACTCTTTCACCCAACTTCTTTCAGACAGATATTATCCCCTCTGCCTATTCTTCCGCAGCTTCCTTCTTCCAGGCAGGTATCCACCTCTACCTGCACTGTAAAAGCTTTTGTCTTTATAAAGACATTTGTGGCCCCAAGGCAGAGCTCTCTTTTTTATTTGCCTCTGGCCTAGCGGGATCGTGCAGCCAATATTCTGTTTCTAGGAACCCTAAAAACCCACACAGGACACACAGTTAAAAAATGAACAAACATACAAAACTTTATTTTAAATCAAGACTATCCCATATGACATTTAACTCAATAAAAATGCAAATAATCAAATCATATGTGGAAACACACAGGAACTCACAATAACACCATAACCTTTTTTTTTTTTTTTAATGGGTAGGCGCGCCTCTTAATGGAAGACACAAAATATTTCTCCTGCCTGAAGAAACCATAATTTGCAAATCTACCTGAATATGTAAACTAGTAAGACTTGCTATTCAGGTGGTGCATATAGCTGTTGCTACCAATAGATGGCATTACACAGGCTCCATACCCAAATCCCCCTAATTGGTGGCAAGCATCAGCAGAACAGGGGAGCACACAAAACATTTAATGATAAACAAATATGTTATACACACCCTGCACCTAAAATGGTCACAGGGTGACTTAGACAGAGGAGTAGTCCAGGGTCCTACATAAAGTATTCACCTAAATCTCCTGGTGATGGTGACTTGTTTTTTTCCTCTTCTCCTCACAATGTGTCGAGCAGTGTTAATTTTGTCGACTAACAATTTTAGTCAGATTTCAGTTGACTTGAATTTTTTGAGATTTAGTTGACTAAAACTAGACGAACTAAACAATTCAGATGACTAAAATACGACTAAAACTAAAAGAAGAATATCAGTATGGTAATATTTGGATTCATCTTCGTGGTATGAGGCGTGTAGATGAAAATTAGTAATTTAAAAAATAAAAGTATACATTATTAATTGTAATATATAAGTAGTAGTAGGGAGAGTGGGAATAGATTGTAATGTTTTAAGAATGTGGTGATCTAGTGTTTGCATCTGTCATGTCAGCACATTTAATGTTACTGCAAGCCCTTCCTTCCTTCTACTAGCACAATCTTCCTCGTCTTCACTAATAACCAATCAGAAACTTCCACTGGAGAAGCATTGCAGGCCAGCCATGTTTGTACTGTTGTTCTATCACAAACTTCTTAATGAGTTGTATTACAGTCCACTGAGACTTCATTCAAGGTTAGGCGGTTTTGGAAAGCCCTTGCCATTGAGCTTAGTTCCAGGGAATCTCAAGTGATTTATGTGTTATGTGTAATTCATATGCATCATTCAGATGTGTTGCTCTACACATGTGTATATTTTTCATGATCACAATGTGGGGTTTTATATAACCACAGTTGGAGTGTTCCTATCCTTAAGGTATATTGCAAGAGATACCACCTCCCATTTAAACTAACTTTAATTTTTCAAGAATTTATCAAAATTTTTACATACTTAACGTGACCATCAAGCATATAAAGCCCAAGAAGAGCACATCGCTTTATTATCATGTGTTTTTCCATATACAGCCTTATTGTGGGAGTGAGGTACTTTTATACTAATTGAATTGTGTTTTCTACAGTATTGATTACTCATACACTTGAGGTATCAACAACAAATATTTCTGAGGTAAATGGCATCATATTTTTATTTACTCAGCTCAGCAAATAGTATAGGTTAATTAACGTTTTTCTGGCCACTGCCATGATGACGTATTATTTTGGTTAGTTTCTTTGACGATAAACTACTTTATAAATCTGTTTATCTTTATTTCATGTCATAAATTTATATGCCGCCAATTAGCCAACTTTATGTCGCTTTAGTTGCTTGTTTAATTCAAGGCAAATAATCTAAAATAAAACAGTCTACTTGTATAACGAAGCTGGTAATGTGGAATGGAGAATGGCTGGCTGTCACACGGACTGTATTGAGAGACCACTCTCTCGTGGGTTCTACCAACTTGGTAAGCTCATTGCTAGATACCCCTGGTGGTTTCTGTTGACTCCTTTTGTTATGTCTGCTGGGCTAGGAGCTGGTTTTTATTTTTTACCACAAAGAGAAACTAGCAATATAGAAGATCAGTTTACACCCATTGGGGGTCCTGCTAAATCAGAGCAAGATTTTATAAAAAGGCATTTTCCAGTCAATGACACTGGCCAATTTTCAGTTCAGCGGCTTTATACAGAGGGATCTTTTGTCTCCTTGATTGCAGTCACCTTATCTAATAATATTATGAATGCAAACACATTTGTGGAGCTCCTGATGTTGGATGAGAAGGTGAGAAATTTGGCTATTACAATGCCAGAGGCAGGACATGATGTTAACTTCAAATTTCATCAGCTGTGTGCAGAGGTCCATGGCAATCAATGTCTCCCATCTAACCCACTGTTAGCTGCAGTACAAGGTAACCCCAACAAGATAGAGACCATCAACGTGACCTATCCAATGTTCCAGAATACAACATTTCTGGGGACGTATCTTGGAGGAGTAACACTGGGCCCAGAACCAGAACACATTGTACAGAGAGCCATTGCAATGAGATTAGTGTATTACCTGAGAGAGGACAGTGATCAAGACAGAGATAACAGCT